AAAATTTTTTAAGGAAAAATGACAGTGAAACCCCTTTTCTGTGGTTTTTACTGGGACATGTCAGCCCTGCCTTGCACGGGCTCAGTTTCTGGTTTCATTTACCTTCGGGGAACGGGCCCTTGGCCTTGTGACTAGATCCTCCCCACAGGATGGCCCGGCCCGCGGGCACCACACAGGCCGGTGTGTGCCAGCTCCCAGCCCTGAAAGGGCCCTTCCAGGCCAGTGCCCACCACGGTGCGCCCCTGCACCCCCAGTGCTGGGAGGGTGCTCCTCTCTCCCTCCTCTGCCAGGGCTCCGGGCCCCAGGCTGGAAAGGGCAGGCACGGGGCCCACGATCCTGCCCCAGTGGCCAGCTCCCTGTGGCCCCGGGGCACCACCTTCCCTTCCGCTCACAGCTCTGACTGCTGACCCCACTCTGGCCTTGGAAGCCCAGCTTCCCCTGTGAGAGGTTGTGGCAGGGGACAGGGCCTCGGCTCAGTCTCCAAAAAGATGAACCTGGGCCAGACACAGCCCCTCGGGCGGTCCATTCCCTGTGGAGTGAGGGTGTGGACACCGTGACTACCCAGGTCAGAAGAGCCCAAGGTCACATGGTGGATTCCCCCGACCCCAGCCAGCTCCTGGCAGCCTCACACGCCCCAGCCGAGCTAAGGGCTCCTCAGCCACGGCCACACTCATCCTCACTCTCACTGCCTCCCGCCCGGCCCCAGTAAAAAGCGTCGTCATCGCACTTCACAGCAGGGGAAATGGGAGCACAGAGAGGTCAGGACACTTGCCCAAAGCAACACAGCCAGTCAGTGGCCAAGCCGAGTTTAAGTTCAGGTCTGCCTGACCCCAGGTGTCCCCCATCTTCCCACCGCGGTACCAGCGGGCCAGCTCTGCAAGCCCCTCACAGCAGCCAGCCACTGGCTCCTGTTTCTGAGCCTTCTGGAAAGGTCTACGGAAGCCTGCTTCAGTCCCAGTTTCTCTTCTCCCCCAGACTCAGCCCTTTCCTCCTACAAGGAAACCCTTGCAGGCCCCTTCCATCTCCTGGCCGCGTCCCTGCCGACTCCACTTGGATGACGGTGGCTCAGGTGGGAACGGGGGCCTGAGGGTGGCAGCCCGGGACAATAGTGGTGCTCGGACCACCAGCCTTTCAGAATCTACGGGGAGCTGATAGAAATGCAGATTCCCAGGCCCCTCTAACCCCCCCACCCCGTGGGACCTAGAATCTGCATTTCACCAGCTGCCCTTGTACCACATGGGGAGGGAGAGGTGAGGGAAGCCCCAGGGTTCTCAGCCTTGCCTGCTTCTTCGTGTCTAGATGCCTTGCTGGCCGGACAGTGCGGCGACCCTATCAGTAGTCCCACCTCCACCGAGCCGCCACCTCATCCCGAGATACCTGCTCAGATGGCGACCACCAGCCAGGAATTGCCTTCTCCCTGCCGCCTACAGCTGGCCTCTCAAACACAGGGGGATTAATGGACGGCACTGGGGCCGTGTGCAAAGGATTAGCAGGTGCCAAACGGGGCTGGGGAGGTGGTGGTGGAAGAGAGGGGGACGATGCCCTGGGAGCCAACAGCAACCTCCTAGAGGCCAGCAGGGGTCTGGGGTCCAGGCAGGGACTGCCAGGTGGCCCAGGTTTGGGCACCATGCGTTGTCAGAGGACCTGCCCAGGTACCAGCAGCCTGGCTCCCCACATACCTTGGCCAGCCTACAGAGTGGCTGGTGGGAGAGTGACAGCGTGGAGTCCCCGTGTGATCCTGGGAGACTCCCCCAGGTGGCAGGGGCTTGTCAGCTCTCAGTGAGCAGTGGCAGTGCCCCCCAGCCCTCCAGCCCCACGGCCAGACTCAGCAGACCCTCTCTGGCCCGGAGTCCTCGGTGCCTGGGCCCTGCCGGATGGCTGTGGTCCCGGGGCGGGGGCTCTCGGAAGGACCCAAGGACCGACGGGTGGCTGACTGCGGGGAAGCTGGCCCCTGAACTGCGGTCACACCCGAGCGGGGAGGCAGGTCAAGGAGGAGAGGACAAGAGGGACAGGGGCCCAGTGAAGAGGGGCTCAGTGAGGTGACAGAACCTGGGGGGGAGGTGGGGTGGAAGAACACTCAGCAAAGAGGCAGGAACCTGACTTGGTCACAGTGTTTCTCAGGCTCCTCGAATGTGCCAGGCAGTGTGCCAGCCTCGGCATCTGACGGACGCAGGCCTGGGCCCTGACCGGCATGGCTCAGATGGCCGGGCGTCACCCCGCATACTGAAAGGCTGTCGGTTCGATTCCCAGTCAGGGCACATGCCTGGATGGCGGGCCAGGTCCCTGGTTGGGGTGGGGTAGGGGGCTGTGTCTGGGAGATGACCCATCAGTGTTTCTCTCTCACATCGATGTTTCTCTCCCTCTCTTTCTCCCTTCCCCTCTGCCTAAAAATAAATAAATAAAATATTTAAAAATAAAACAGCACAACTTTATTGAGGTATAATTTACATGCCCTAAAACCCACCCGTTTCAAGTGCACAACTCTGATTTTTAGCAGACTGCCCGAGCTAGGCCGCTGGCACCTTCTTGTGTCGGAGGGTTCCCATCCCCCGTCACCCCAACAAGCTCCCCCGTGCTCCGTGACGGTCCCTCCCCACCCCCACCCCCACCCGGGCAACCACTAACTAATCTGCCCCCACCTCTGGAACTTGCCCTTTGTGGACGTTTTATGTGAATGAATCGCCCCGTGCGTGGAGCGCTTTTGTGTCTGATTTCTCTCACTTGGCGCAAGGTTTTGGAGGATCATCCGCGCGGTAGCACAGACCGGTTCCCCGCCTCTTTCCCATTCTCAGGAGAATTCCGTGGCCGGGGTACACCACAGTCTGCTCGCCGTTCACCGGTCAGCGGACACGTGGGTTCTTCCCACTTCCGGCCACAATAAAGGGACGCCGCCGTGCACACGGCGTGCAAATCTTTGTGTGGGCGTATGTTTTCATTGCTCTCGGCCAGAATTGCTGGGTCACACAGTCAATCTATGGTTCACTTTTTTTTAAACTTTTTTTTTAATTTTATTTATTTTTAGAGAGGGGAGGGAGGGAGGGAGAGAGAGAGAGAGAGAGAGAGAAACATCAATGTGTGGTTGCTGGGGGTCATGGCCTGCAACCCAGGCATGTACCCTGGCTGGGAATCGAACCTGCGACACTTTGGTTCACAGCCCGCGCTCAATCCACTGAGCCACACCAGCCAGGGCTTATGGTTCACTTTTTAAGAAACTGCTGAACTGCTTTTGCAAACTAGTATCCCTTGTCTTGAGTGCTGGTTAGTTAGTTACCTGGGGTCTCCCTTTATAAATGATTGGTTCCATTATTTATGCACTTTATGTATGTTGTTATATTTTATGGCTTTAAAAGAGTTTAAAAATAAATGGGGAAAGGAATCAACTCTGCAGAGTTTTCTATGAGCAGGGGACTTGGGGGTGCTGCCCTGGGGCAGGAGGGGCAACCGGGGAGCCAGATCCTCTCACAGGCTCAGCACCTAGGCAGGTGTGTGCAAAGCCCCTGCCAATATATGCAAATAAGTTAGGCTCCCCGGGGGTTCCCTCACCTGAAGGGTCTGTCTCTGGGGCGCTGGGCTTCGGCACTGGTGACCCTGCTTTCTGGGAAAAGGGGAGGGAGGCTGCAGGCCTGCCGGGGGCTAGGGTGATGCCTCACTTGCTAATCCCTGTCCTGCTGAGGCCACCACTCTCCCTGATCCCCTTACGCTGTGACCCTGGGTAGTGGCCGCCACTAATCTCCACCCCAGGGACCCCAAGGGCTGGCAGGCAGGCCAGCGCCCTGAGGTTTGCAGGAAGGGGAGGACCCTTTCAGACCACAGACATCCCTCCTGGCAGGGCCTCGGGCGCTTGCTAAGCACAGAGGGGAGCCTCGAGGCCCAGAGAGAGACAGGAACTGGTTCAGGGACACACAGCCTGCCCCGGCCAGCCCTGGTACGCCCATCCCCGGAGAGCCCTGCTCCCTGCCTGCTTCCCAACATGCCTGGCCTGCGCTGTGGCCCGGGACAGCAGCCTTCGGGAGGGCTGAAAAGGGTTGGGGGCGGGCACAGGATCCCTGGAAGCCTGTGGTTGCCAGGGTGGCCAAGGACTGGGCGCCCTCACAATCAGGCTACAGTGGGCATTGTCTGCAGAACATTCTTTATTCTCCTACCGCCTCCTGAGGCTCTGGGGCCTGGCCCGTCTCCCTGATTCCTCTCCCCACTGAGCAGCCGGAAGAGCAGCAAATCCTTATACACTGGTGTGCCTGAGACCCGTGCCCTGCGGGCCAGCCGCCCCTGTCGGTGGGTCAGGAGCAGGGAGCGCCCCCTCCCCTCCTCCCCCCTCTCCACTCCCCATGGCCTCTCCCTGCCCCTCCATGGCCCTAGGTCCTCACCCCCTGTCCACCCGCCACCCACCTGCATCCCTCACCATTAACGGGGCTCAGGAAGGAAGCAAGCTGAGTCAACAAATTCTCACTGAAGTTGACGTGGCCAAAGGGCTCCTGGGAATACCCGAGTTTTACAGGAAGGCCCTGCCTGGCCAGCACTGTTTTCCCAGCTCACGTCGGTGGTGCCTCTCCCTCTCTTTAAAACGTTTTCGTCTCCCTGTAGAACTCTGAGTAAATGCCAGAGACCTTCGCTGAGGCCCAAAGTCCGTAGTCAGTCACCCAGAGGCATCTGAGCTAAATCTGGGCCCACTCGCTCCTGCTGCTTCCTGCTCACTATTTAAGAACAGACGGAAATGCCACCCCTTTCAGACTGTGCCCTGAATGCCACGGTCCCCAGCCTCCCCAGGCGCTCCCCTCAGTCAGCGCCCTTAGCACGTCCCCTGTGTGTCCATCATGCTGTCTGGGTGTCCCTGCCACCACACGGGAGCTCCCGAAAAAAACAGGATCTAGCGTCCAGCAGGTGCTCCACACGTGTGGGACGGCAGACAAGTCAGCCCGGGCCAAGGCCGTGTCCCTGCGTGGGAGGGCGTCTGGCTGGCCTGAGCCCTAGGCGAACCCCTTTGCACCCTCGGCTCCCCAGCCATGGCCCGCATCGTGGACCTGGTGCCCTGGGAGGACGGCTCCACCCACGTGTACGCGTCCCCAGCCATCCTGCTCCCGATGGAGCGGCAGAGAAACCAGCTGGCCGGCGTGAAGCAGCAGCTCTACCACCCGGCCCTGCCCAGCCTGCGCCGCATGGACATGGACTCCACCAGGGCCTGCCTGTCGGAGGAGCACTGCCGGTCCTCCACCTACTGCCGCAAAGGTCGGGCCCCTCGCCCGCCCCTGCCTCTGGCATCGCCTGGACCGGGGCCTTCGGGGAAGGAGTAGGTGGTTTGGAGGAGAGAGATCTGGGAGTGCACGGCCACGAGGGGCAGGTGAAAGCGGTTGAGGGCTGGTCCCAGCTGTGCCACCTCCTGCCCAGCGAACCTCGCCAGGTCTGAGCCTCTGTCTCCTTCTCAGCAGAAGGGGGCTGGCAGTGGGGCCCGCCCCCCAAGGCGGGTGAGAAGTTAAGGTGAGATAAGGCAGGAAGAGTGCTGAGAGTAGTGCCTGGCATCCACTGGGTGCTCGGCAGAGTCGAGCACATTGCTGTCGTTGCTGCTGTTATTGCTAATGGGGAGAACCGTGTGGAGGTCAGCAGGTGCTGCAGGAGGAGGGGTAATAATGGCAACAATACCAGCTTCTGTCCAGTTGTCTCTCCACCTGGGAAAGGGACAGAGACCCTCCTCACGCCTCCCATGAGTGAGTGAGAGGAGCACGTGGCCCAGGGGAGAACTAACTCTCCGTGGACCGGAAGCTTGGGTGTGGAGGGGAGGGCGCCGCAAGAACACACACACGTTCCTGTATTTAGCACCTCGTTCGTGACTGACACTGTGCTGAGTCCCCAGGGAAACGCAGCGTATTGCAGCTAGAGGGAACAGCATGGGCAGAGGCCTGGAAGGGAAAGGTTGCACAAGGTATTGGGGTGTAGTAGCAGGGGAGGAAAAGGTGAGTGGGGGCAGGAGGAGCAGTGGCTGGGGGCCAGGGCACAGCTCAGGAAGGGCCCTGCTGCTGAGCTCAGGGGCCCCGACTTTCTCAGGAGGGAAATAGGAACCTCTGAAGACTTTAAGCAGAAGAAAGGTCTGAGCATTGTAGGGGAGGGGGCAGAGGATGACCCAGAGGGACTAGAGGTGGATAATGGGGGAGGGGTCGTGAGGACACCGGCCACAGTCTTTAGGAGGAGTGGCAGTGTCTTGCCACTGGCAAGCGTTGTGAAAAGTATTTAAGAGGTAAAAACAACAGGATTTGGTACCCGTGTGATAGAAGGACGAGAGAGGGGAACCCAGGACAATACCCCGGTCCCTGGTCCCCGGCCCCACGCATATCAGACTGCATGGTGATCGCCAGAGGTCCCACGCAGATCCCTGCAGGGCCAAGATGGGAACTGGGAAAGGAGAAGAGGGGCCCCCTCCACAGGGGAGCAGCGACTGGGCTCCCCCCACCCCCACTACCGCGTGGGAGGTGTCAGCACAGCCGCAGACTGTCCGATTTCCTAGCTATTCTTGGGATCTGGGTTTTCGGGGAAAGCTTGCTCGTGGTTTAGATACGTATTTGCTCCAAGTACATGCTTCAAAAACAGTACCTGCGTTACAGGCTTACAATTCAAAATGCTGCCACAAGGTACGTTTTACCGAGTCTCCCGTCTCCCCCTCCTCCCACGCCCACTTGCAGGTAACCGCTCTCGGTTTGAAACTCTCCTCTCGTGGCTGACTGTTGCAAACACAAACATGTACCATGCGACTCACCCACTCTTTACTATGAACATATTCAGACGTGGAGACAAGTTGAAAGAATAACGCTATGAACACCCACTACCTTCCACCTGCTTCAATTAATGTTTTGCTGCTCGCTCTCTCTCTCTCTCTCTCTCACACACACACACACACTTTAACAAGCAGCTCCCAAGGATAGGAACCTCCTACGTGACACAATACCATTATCAGATGTGGGAAAGTTGATGATAATTCCATAATATCTAACATTCAGTCCATATTAAAATGTCTTCGATTACCCCCAAAGATGGTCTCTTACAGCTTAATTTTGGGGAGGGGGCAGGATTCAATCTAGGATTGGGCATTGCGATTGGTTGTGATGTCTCTTTAGTCGTAGGCTGAAACAGTTTCTGTTCTTCCTTCACAATATTTTTTAGAGCCCAAAGCAGTTATGTTGTAGACAGTCCCGCACTGTGAACTGGAGCGAGTGCTTCCTTATGGTGTTCTTTATCCTGGTCATCTATTTTCCGTCAACTAGAAGCCAGGTGTGGGGGCTTGCTTAACCAGGTAAAACATTGCTGGCCAGAATCTTTCCCGGGTGGCGGATGCTGTGTTTGCCATAACACTTCAGCAGGAGGCACAGAATGTCATTGTCCCACGATTCGTGATGCTGAGTTTGACGCCTTGGTGACAGTGGTAACCTGAGTGTGTGTCCTTTTCTGCGTCCAATCATCCTGGTTTTAGGCTTTAAAGCAAAGCGTAGCATATGACGTACACTCTTCTGTACCTTAGTGGTCCTATATGGAGAACTTGATTTTTTTTTTAAGATTTATTTATTTATTTTTTAGAGAGGGAAGGGAGGGAGAAGAGAGAGAGAGGGAGAAACATCAATGTGCAGTTGCTGGGGGTCATGGCCTGCAACCCAGGCATGTGCCCTGACTGGGAATCGAACCTGCGACTCTGTGAACTTGATTTATTTTTGATAGCTGCCTAGTGAGGGTGTATCCTGGCATACTCGGTCCTTTCACGGCAAACACCTGCATGGATTCCATCCATTTGCTATCACAAACAGTGCTGGAGTGGGTAAACATCCTCCCCACGTTAGTTCCCAGTCGGGAGGTTGTAAGACGGGACAGGTTCTCAGAAGCAGGACCGAGGAGTCAAAAGGTGTGTGTGTCTGTAATTCTGATGGGTATTGCCAATTGCTTTCTATGGGCCTGTTTCTGATAACTGCACTCACTTTTGGGTTGTGTCCAATCCCATAGGCAAAAATTGGAATCTTATTGTACTTTGAATATGTATGCATTTGTCTTATTGTGCAGGAGGCTGAGGGCCTTTTTATATGCTTAAGGGCCATCTGTATTTCTTGTGTTTCTGCGTGAACTCCCTATGCATGTTGGGTACTCATTTTTACCCGCTTTTCTTTTATTTTCGCTTTTTTGCTGTTTTGATCTTGACTTCCAGGAGTGCTTTCAGGAATCAGGAACTTGAAACTCATCTGTAAAATAACTGGAAATGTTTTTTTCCATTTGACTTTTGAGTTCTCATGTTGTTTTATGCAATGCCAACGTTTATTTTTATGCAGGGAAAGTTACCAATCTTTTCTTTAAGGCTCCTGGATTTTGTGTTAGAGTTGGTGTGGCTGTCCCCAACCTAAGGTCAAAAAGAAATTCACCCATGTTATCTTCCAGTACTTCTGTGGTTTCATTTTTTTTATATTGAAATGTTTGATTGATTTGGAGTTTATTCTGTTTTAAGCCAAGTTAAGTAAAAATCTACTTTATCTTAGATTTTTAAAACTTGTCAAATATATATATATATATATATATATATATATATATATATATATATATATATATTTTTTAATTTAAAGCAGTGTGGGCCACACCTCCCTGTGTGGGTCTGGCCCCCCGGTGCTGGAGATATCTACTCTCCCTCTCTCTTCCTTCTTCAGATGACTTTGACAATGCCTACTTCACACTCCTTGGTGTCCCCAACAAACCCCTGCAGTGCTTGGTGAGTGTCCTTCGCCCCCAGCCCTGCCCCCAGCTCTTGGTTTGCTCAGGGGAAAGGCGCTAAGGCCCTGCCTGCATCCAGCCCCAAGCACCTCTGGTCTTGGGCTCCACTCCTGTACCTCCTCAGCTTCCACGCCTTGGGACCCCGGGCCCGTTTCCATCTCCGTCAGGGGCTTCAGGCGCCCCTCGCTCAGATGAGCCGAGTGTCAGCTCCGCCCTCTGGGGTGGCTTGGAGCTGCCTCCCGGGCTTCCGCATCTTCCTCCGCGGCCCTGACTCCCGTCGCTTCGGCAGGACATCACCGCGACCGGCCAGAGGCTCCGCGACAGGTGCCGCGAGGGAAAGCTGGCGCCCATCGCGCCGGGCATCAGCCGGCTGGACTGGCCCTGCTTCGTGCGCGCCTTCGAGGACTGGTCCCATTTCGTGTCCTCTGCCAGAGAGTTCAGGCTGCCCCCCTCGAGCAAGAAGGGTCAGTCTACCGGGCGCCGGGGCTGCCCTGGGCGGGAGAGCAGCCCAGCAGCGGGGTCCCTGGGGTCCGGCCCTGGAGTGCGGACTGCGGACTGTGGACTCCGGGTGGGGTGGGGCGGGGCGGGCTCCAGCGAGCACAGGGTGGGGAAGCTGGAGGCAGTCGGGGCAGAGCTAAGACGGACTGAGGGACCTGGACAAGGGACTCGTCTTAGGGACACGGTGGAAGCCAGGTTCGGGCACAGAGCCGCTGGGGCTGGGGCGGAGGGCAGAGTGGGTTCTGCGACCCACCGAGCAGGATCTGGAGGCAGGACTTGTTCTGCTGGGTGGTAGAGGTGGGGCTGAGTCTAGGAGCAGGTGTGGGCGGGGCTTTATCCAGGGGCGGGGCTCCAGTGAGAGCCGGGCCAGAGATTGTCCTGGCCGGGGGCGGGGGACTGCGGAGCTAGGGGCGGAAGGCCCGCACTGTCTCCCCAGCCGAGAGTTTCAGCGGCTACGCGGTGCGGCACTTGAAGCCGGAGGTGACCCAGAACTGGCGGGTAGGGAAGGCTCTGCGCCGACCTGTCCCTGGGGGCCGGGCAGGGTGGAGGGGGGCAGCGGCCAACCCGGGATGGGGTGTGGGGAAAGGAGGGGAGACCGCGAGCGCGGTCCCCCAACCCCCAGGGCTAACATGCCCGCAGAGAGTGCTGTGCTGGGGGCGTGAGTGGGAACTGTGGGCTTCCCCCATCCCTGCCTCCCTGGCTCACCCACCACCCTCCCTGTCCCTCTGGCCCGCCCAGTACTGTCTCAACCAGAACCCCAGCCTGGACCGATACGGACAGAAGCCCTTGCCCTACGATTCCCTGTGAGTGAGGCCGCAGGCCCCCGACCCCTGTGAGGCCTGGGAAAAGTCGGTGGGCTCCAATACCCCACAACAAAGTCGCAATTTCAAAACGAATTGATTGTTTACACCTGCTAAATGCAACACCCTGTCCTCCGTCCCTGGCAACAGCACCCTCTGGGGGTGGAGGCATTTAGGTGGGGCGAAGGGGCAGTGTAACCCTTCTGGGGGCATGGTGCCTCCCGAGAGGGGACTGAGGTTCCCCCAGATGGGGGTGCGCCTCCCCACCTCTGGCTCACCCCGCTCCCTCTTCCGCAGGAACACTTTCCGCCACTTCGGATCCTACTACAGGTAGGGGCTGACCCCGCCACCCGCCCTGCCCCACACCTGGCTGCCGCCAGCCCCTGGGATTCTCAGACCCCTGCTCTGCCCTCGGGTCCTGGTCCTGGCGAGGGAGGCTCCAAAGGATTGATAGCCCCCATGATGTCAGAGATGGAGGGAGGGAGGGAAGGAAGGAGGGAGAGAGAGAGAAAGAAAGAAAGAAACCGAGTCCCTCCTGAGAGGCCCAGCACAGCCCACCTGGAGAGGGAGGGAGCTCACAGCCTGTCCCACCCAACTTGTCCCTGAGGAGGCCAAGAGTGGGGGTAAGGGGTCACCTGGAAGGCACGCAGGGGCCAGAAGAGCAAGCAGATGTAAGAAACTTGGTGGAAAGAGCCAAGATTCTGCCTTCCAGGACGCCGCCCAGAGGTGTCCAGAGCTGGAGCTAGTGTTCCCTGCTGGAGAGGCAGCACAGCCGGGCGTCTCCCTAACTACGCCACCTCCCACCTCTCCAGCCCCTTTCCCTGCCTGCCTGCAGTCTCCTCCTCCCGGGTGTGACCCAAAGCCCCAGCACAGCCAAGCACTCCACCCCTGCGCTTGTACTGTTTCAGCGCCTAGCTAACCCTTCGGTCGCCGGAAAACTCCTCTTCAGTCTTTAAAGCCCTACCCGGAGGTCCCATCCGTGAAGCCTTCCCCGACGCAGGGTCTGCCTCTCCCCTCCAGCTCAAACCCCTCCGTCCACCTGTCACCACACACGCGTCCCCCATCGGATGGCACACAGACTGTGGCATCGTAATGACCAATGGAAAGCATGCCTTCCCTCACCCGCCCTGCGCACAGCCAAGGGGACCCTTGTTAGCTTTTTTTTACTGCTGTCTAATGCCCGCCAGGGGAGGGTCACAGAAAGACTGAAAACGAGTAGAGCCGTGCGCGGCTGGGGATGGCAGGGAGGTGAGGATGAGGCAGACTGGAAGGGAGGGGCTTGGCAGAAAACACAGCGAAGGAAGTAGGGAGGCATTGAAGGTCCTTGAGCCACAGAGAGACAGGGTGGAAGCTGTGTTTTCAGAGCTCGGAGGCCAGGAGGGTGGGTTTTGTGGGGCAGCCTAGAGGAGGACAGCCCGATCTTTCCCCAGGATACCCCGGAGGCCCCCACCTTGCCCCCATTTCTCTCCACAGTCGTTCCAATTACCTAATTCCCTGGCGTTAACCTGCGGAAGGAGGCCCACGCCCAGGGGGCCGACCCCCAGGCTGCCGGACCACGCCCCCTCAGGTTCCCCAGCAGGACGGAGGGTGAACGGTGGCCTCCCCCATCTCCCCCAGAGTTCAGCCTGACCGGAAATAAACCTAATGTTCCCACAGGGAGGTGTCGTGTGTCTGTGTGTGTGTGTGTTGCGGGGAGGGGGGTCAGGACCTGTCTTCCGCCCTGTTGTCATCAAAGCCCCCTGCTCGGGACAAAGAGACGGGCACCGTGGTCCCTCGCCTTGCTGGAGACAGACACTCTTCCTCAGCCTCTCTGAGTGGGGTTACCCTGGACGTGGCCCCGGAGTTTCCACAGCCCCCGCCCCCCAGGATAGCATGCCTGTCTTTCCGTCGGCTACTGGGCGGACAGCAGGGAAGGAGTCAGCCTCCGGTCCAGCCCAGGACCTGGGGCTCAGCAAGTCCCAGCGCTGGACACGGTGCTCACGTATCGTCAGTGCTCAGCGTTTGTAGAATACTTCCCAGAACGGGCGTGTATTTAACCTTGTGCTGTTGTCTGGTATGCAGACCAAACCTGCCTGCCTTAGAGACTCAAGGCTGATCTTAATTTCTTTTAAGGTTGGAGGTAATGATCGTTACCCTTACAGCAAGGTGGGGGACCATGGTGTCCACCTCTTTGTCCCGAGTAGGAGGCTCTGATGACAATAGCACAGAAGATGGGGGGCGGGGAGGGGGAGCAGACAGGAAATGGTAAGCAGGTCAGGTCACAGAGCCCCTTCCTCCTCAGAGCCCTGTCGAGAAGGTGGCCAGTGCCCCCCCACCCCGTTTCATGCAGGAAGAAGCCCTTTCCTCCAAGTCCAGCAGACAGTCAGCCTGGCTTGAGCCTTGGGAAGCCATTGGCAGAGCCCCTTGGGTGTCAAGGCCACATTCTGTGGCCCTGAGTGTCCCCTCCAACATGCCAATGCCGAGAAGAGATTCACCTAACAGGCTCACAGCGGGGGCGCCGGAGTCCTGGCCTGCGTGACATTGGGGACATCCAGAGAACACGTCAGAGGGAATCAAGTGCCTGGAGCCCTTCCTGGCCCCGCTTCCCCGACACCGGGTGACTGAGTGACTGACTGGGCAAGTCCCTCCAGGAATGCGATCCAGCAGACGGCTGAGGCCTTGCCAGGGGCCGTGCTGGGTGCCGGAGGGACACAGACCAGATACCATCTCTGTCTGCCTTTGAAGCGCTTCCCGTCCAGCTGCCTCGGAGCTGAAAGCAGGAGGTAAGAATGTGGGCGTACAGAGGCCGTGTTCCTCGAGCCCTAGAGCTGTGAAGGGTGACCCGCACCGGCCATTCAGCCATTCGAACAGGTTCTTGCCCACGACTGAACCCTCGTGCCGTAGACATGAGAACGTGCGCCCAGGGATAAAGGAAATTCAGAGCAGCTGAGCATTAACAAGCCTGTGTTAGCACGCGCTTTCCGTTTTTTAAGTGCAAGGCCATGTACTAAGCACTTTGCAGGCCCCATGGGGTGGGTAATTATATACCCGTTTTACAGATGATGAAAGGGTTGGCAAGGCTAGGTGACTGGCCCAGGGTCACAGAGAGGGTGGCTGGCAGAGCTGGGAACTGAAGCCAGCCTGCCTGAACCCTGAGCCTGCGGCCCCCACGGTCTACTGCCTTCCTGCTTTGAGAGAGATGCAAGCCAAGCGTGGGGAGAAAACCCAGGGGGGCTTCTTGGAGGTGGGGACATTTGGCCTGGGTTTGGCAGGAGATACCCCACCAGAAAGCTCTCTGGGAGTTGCTGGCAGTGGTGGGATCTGCAGGTTAAAAGTCCCACCCAGAGGCGGAGAAATGGAGAGCCCTGCTCTGATCCAACAGAGCTACTCTCTCTGGCCTAGAAGGCCCCTCGGCCTCGGGGGCCTCTTTGCTCATCATAAATAGATTACGTTAGAAACTGTCCCTGCATTGACTGCCTTGGGACAGCCCAGCCTCCACGGCCTCAACTCCAGGCCTTCCTGGCCGGACCCCAGTCTACGACCCGGGCCCTGGGCCTGGACCTTCTACCCCAGCACCAACACCACCACCATCTCCTGGCGGCTCCGAACACCCCAGACTCCGGTCTGCTTCCTAACCTCTGTTCAAAGCCTTCCTTGCCCCTGGAACATGCTTTCCCCGTCTCTGTTCTGCCTGATCCCACCCTTTCTTCCAGGCAGGCCTCTCTCGATTCCTCCCTTCTCCCCCCATTCTCCCCGAAAGTCTATAAGGACAGGAGCCAAAGCTGAGTCAGAGAGACTGACTCCTAGCCTCCGGCTCTCAGGAAATACTGAACTTACCAGCTTCTCTTATCTCTCTGAGTGGACCTGGGGTGGGGCCGGGGCCTCCCAGAACAAAGACACTGACTGACCTGGACTAGATGAAAGCCCAGCTGCGAAGCAGTCCTTGCTGTCCTGGGGCCGGCAGTGAGGGAGGACCAGGGTCCTGGCTGAGGGTGGCGGGAGGGGGTCAGGGCCAGGGAGGACTCTCGCAGGGAATGTTTTGGACTGAATATCAGCAGCTTTGACACTCCTGATCCTACCTTTTATCACATGGACACCTCAAAACTGTCTCATCTGAAGTTCTTGCTTCACCAGCTCACCGCCTGGCAAACAGCAATGCTGGTGGGTGAGCAAAGGCAGGAAGTGCATACCGGGGCAGGGATGGGCAGGCACACAGCGACCCGGAGACCCCACAGGCCCTTCCCCACCCAGGTTCTCCCTTTGACCTTCTTTTCTGGCCCTGAGGAGGACCAGGCATTCCAGCCAGAATCTGAGAATCTGCAGAAGATCAGGAGCAGCCAAGGCTTTTCCTGGAGGCATGACCTTCAAGAAACAAAGAAAGCAGCTTGGGGATGGGATGCAGAGCTTATCACAGGTGGCCTGGCCCAGGCTGGGGCCCTGAGCAAAGTTGCAAGGCCCGAGCAGGCAGTCCCCGGCCTGAGGCCTGCTCTGAAGGAGGGGGGGGGGGTGCCTCGAGGTCAGGATGGAGGACCAGGGACAGAGAAGGCTGTCCACAAGGAGCCTGCGGGGGCCTGGGCTCTTTACAAAGCTGCCTCTGCACAGATGGGAAGTCAGAGCGCAGCGGCTTCAACCCCTCAAGGAAGCAGGCCAGAGGGCTGGCCACCCCCTCTGCCTGCTAGGGAAAGGCTTCCCTCCTCCCCTGGCCAGCCCCAGCCCCAGCCCCAGCCCCAGGCCTGGTCCAGTCCCAGTCATTGTTCCGGCTTCCTGGTTTGGAGCCAGAGCCCCAGGCTTGTGGCTGGAGCCAGAGGCCTGTGAGGTTCAGAGCCCAGGGCTGTTCCCACCCCACTGCCTGTTCCCCACCTGGCCAGCCCCCACAGCTCCAAGCCACTTGCGTCACTAGCTGTATGGCTTTGGGCAGCCCCTGGATATCTCGAGGGTTGGCACCAAGGAATGCCCAGGTCTGCCCGGCCCGTCTCACAGAGATGGTAAGAGGCTCAGGCCAGCTGGGGGACGTGAAAGGTCTTGGGGACAGGGTGTCGGGGGAGGGTGGGGACAGCCCTGACATTCAGATGGTAGAGCTCAGCTGGCTCCCTTGTGCCCCTTCCCTGCCATCCTGAGCGCCCACTCCGTGCCCAGCACTCCGCACAGGTCGTCTCCCGGCGCCCTCGCCCCCAGCCCAGAACTGAGCGTCATGGGCTCCATTTCACAGATGAGGGAAACGAGGCTCAGAGAAGCCCGACCACCTGCCCAACGCCTTTTCACCAACGAGCGGCAGAGGCAGGACACTAGCCAGCTCGGGCTGTGGGGCCCTCACCCACAACACCATGCCACTGCCACCCTGGCTCCCGGGCTCCACTTCCGGAGTGCAGGGTCCCCTCCCACTGTCCCCCCATGGGGCCAAGTACAGAGCCAGCCACACAGCAGGAGCTTGACACAACGGCCAGGACGATGGGCTCCAGAGGGAAGTTGTCTTTGGTGGCCCGCCCTGCCCTGGCAGTGACTTGGGGAACCTGGGAGAACGCCCCCCACCCCCACTGGCACCCCCTACCCAGTGCAGTACCTCCTCCCGCAGCAGCCGTCAGGAACTACTAACCCCAAAATGTAAAAGCCCACGTCAGCCTCTCCCCCTCGCCCCTCCCGGCTCTGGCTCTCATCCAGGGGTCGCCCCTCACTTCCAGGTGTCGCCCGCTTGGCACACTGTCCGTGGTTGGGGCCGTTGGGGCCACGGGAATGACTGCCCAGAGACTAAAGAGGAGAGCTCTGGTCTGCAGCCCCAGTCACAGGGCAGTTCCCCCCTGGAAACACTGTGCTGTAAGAGGAGAGCCATGTCGGATATGGGACAGGGGAGAGGCACTGGTGTGCGGCCAGGTGCACGCACAGCTGCTGAAGCCGCTTTGCGCTGCTGTTCCTGTCCCTTACAACCAAGACAGACCAGACGAGGACAGGTGGGCAGCAGGCTGTGGGGGCCAGGAAAGACCAGGAGGGGAAAAGGAGATACAGGTGGATGTCATCAACCTCCCCAGAATCAGAGCCTCAGACCACTAAGGACTCTCGGAGATCAGGGGTCAAGACCTCTGCTTCAGACGGGGAATCGAGGGGCAGAGACCTGCCTGCCTGCCTGCCTCCCTTGTTATCAAAGGGCGGGGACTTGAAACAGAGCATCCAGGCTCCCAGGCCAGGGCCCCACGCACTGCCCTGGTTTGGGCCCAGGCTGCAGAGCGGAGGCTGAGGGCCACAGGGGTGCCGACAAAGGAAGAAAGTCACTGCAGGCCCCACATGGGCTCAGCCACGCCCAGTCAGGGCTCCTCCTGCCTCTGGGCCACGCAGACCATTGTCCATTCAGGAAGGGCAACCTGAAGCCTGGCCCGACGCAAAGGACCCTGGGCCTTCCCTTGCTGAGCAGTGGCCTCCTGCAGGAAGGAGCCTCCGTGGCTTCCCCAGGGCGGGGGGCCTCGCCAGATCACACACAGAGGGAATGAAAAGTGTGGGGTCCGGGCCATATCTGGGGCCCCCCAGCCTTGCCACTAAGCCTTCTGCACCCATTCTTGGGCCCCTGCATCGTGGGCAGCCCCCTGTCCTTGATTTTCTACCCTCAACTGTCGCCCCCACCCCCGGGACAGGGTGTCCCTGCTGACCACCCTCCACTGGCTCTCAGATGCCCACACCTGGGGAGGTTGTCTCTCCCTCTCCCCCAAGCCCACCCTTGCCTTTGAGAAACGGAAGAAAGCTGAGGGGCAGCTGGCCCTGGGGAGACAGGGGTGGGGCACAGAAGGAAAGGGGTGCCGGAGGAGGGCTGAGAGGGGGCACGGTGGGGCCGGGCCACAGACAGATCACCGTGCAATGGGGCCCGTGGAGGTAGGTGAGAGCGGGCGGTCCTCTGGGGCAGGGCCCAGCAGGACCGCTGCTGCTCCGGGCAGGCCCTGGGCAAGCTCTCGTGCTTCCCAGGCCCAGTTCCCGGCCTCCGGCCATCCGTGGGCAGCTGACTCCTCACAGCCCAGCTCCCTTCACCGGGGCTGCGGTTAAACCCCGAGGGGGTCCACAGGCTGCGGGGCCATTTCCGAGGGTCCCGGGTGTCTGCGGCTGGCACCCTCAGCATCTTCATGGCTTCCCCACCGGGGCCTCCGTGCACGAGTCCCCTCAGTCCTCACAACAGCCAAGCAAGGGACGGGTGCACCTCCCCACTTTACAGATGAGGCGCCTGGGAGTTCCCACACTGACTTGTCCGAAGTCACGCAAACCGAACGTTCAAAACTCAGGATTCGAACCCAGCCTCCATCCCAATCTCAAGCCTGCCACCCTGGCCCGCACCCCTCTCCCCCCCTCGCCACGCCCCCTCACGCCCCACGGAAGAAGCAGCAGAACACACGGTGCTTTGGTCTGTGATGGTCAGTGTCTTTACTTCTAAAGCGTACATTGGACTCACTATATATTAACATCAAAAGGGGCTATCTAAAATGAAGTCATTCTTTTTAAAAACCCGAATTCTCACATTTTTTTATATAAGACCCAAAATGGCATGAAATCAAACTATACAATGTTATGAAGAGTGTAACGACTGCTTTTAGAAAGCAGGATGAAAATAAAAAATCAGCAGTTGGAACAGTTGTCAGCCTGGGGTCCATGTCCTTCCAGGGGCTGTGGCCGAGAGCTAGCCCTGAGGGGACGGGTCAGCCAGCCCCTCTCTGGGCGCAGGGCGGGGACCGGTCACGTGGAGGTCGTGCGCGCTTTCGGACGTGTTAAGGGGAGAGTTGCACAAGGTCCGACTAGGGGTCCCTGCTCTTCTGAGTCCTCGGGGCACTGAGTCAAGTCTTCTTTTAAGACCGGTGACCGGGGGAGGGGGCTGGAGGAGGGCAAGGGCAGAGCTGGGGTCAAAATGACCATTCTGATAATAAGGGTCCCCTGGGCTTCCGGAAGGCCCCAGACGTCCAGTGACACCAGCGCACTCCATCCGCCTACTGATTCCCTCAACATCGCTCTTCCCCTGCCCGCTCCCTGCGCCCTGACGCCCTCGGCCGGACAAGCCCTGTGGGAAGCCAGAGACCTAGAGACCCAAGGGAGAACCCTCCGGCCTCAGAAATAGCTGGGTGTTGCCCAGGGCATCTGGGCGATGTAAGATTGCTGGGGCCCAGGCCGCAGCGAGCCTGATGGGAGGGCTCCCATGGGTGGGGAGGGCATTCACGTGGTCCTTTCACCGGCCCCACCCTGGGCACACAGGCCTGTCCCAGCCCTGAGGCGGGGCTGGGAGCTGACTGAGGCCACACCCTTGACACTTTGGTTCACACAATTCAAGGCAGAAGATGCCCTTTCACAACCACCGGCTTGGCCCAGCTTCCTCCCGGGCACCAGGCGGTCTGACGACCCGCCTCCCACAGCAGTCCAGTGTGGCTGCGAGCCCTTTCCCCACCAGAGTTCAGAACTGGGCTGCAGAGGTGGGAGGGGTGCCCCCAAAGTATTGGGATTCGACCTCCACGCAAAGGCCGCCTCTCCTCCTTTCCCCACGGACGGCACCGTCCCGGCACCGTCCCAGGCCATGTCCTCCCTGGAGCAGGACTTCTCTGCCTCCTCCCCTCTGGCTATGCTGACAGCACTCCAGGCAGACCCAGCCCTCTTACCCCCCTCACCGGTCAGAAACCTGGGGTAGGCCTCGCCCCTGGCTGGAGCAGGCAGGCCTGGGGCTCCTGGTGTGCCCTCCTGGTCCCCAAGACTACCTCACAAACCTGGCCTTCTCCCTCAAACACAAACTTGAGGGAGGACGCCCCACACCTGGCCTGCCTCTGGAGTCCAGCCGTCCTCCCGGACCCTGACGCAACCGACCACCCTCCCTTCCTAACCGTCTGGTATCTAACTAGGCTAAAGGCTTTGGGAGGTCGGGCTGGCGCCCATACCTCCTCGGGGTGGAGAGAGGACGCTTGACTTGTGGTTCCAGTCTGGTTCCAGGCCCCCAAAGACCAGGGAGGCAGGTGGCTCTCAAGAGAACAAATCCTATAATGGGAAAGAGGTTTGTGGAACCACAGCGATCTGGCTCCCCCACCTCCAGGCAGGCACCAGGCGGGCCAGGCCCCTCCGCCTGCCCAGCGTGCTTCTGTCCTCATGCCCAGGGACTCTGAACATGGGGCTGGGTGGGGGATCTCCGAGCAAGGAGGCTGGACCTGGCCTGGGGGGGCCGCGGCAGGGACTCAGGGTAGGCAGGCGGCTACCTGGTAGGCGCCCTCAGCGGCAGCTGCGGCAGCGCTGTGCTGCGCGCTGTGCTCCTGCAGCAGGGCCACGTCCAGGAAGCGCTCGCCGCACCACACACACTTGAACTGCTGCTCGCGGGCGTGCACGCCCTGGTGCTTGTTGAGATGCTCGCGCTGCTTGAAAGCCTTGTCGCAGTTGGGGCACTTGTAGGGCTTCTCGCCAGTGTGCACGCGCCGGTGCCGCTGCAGGTCCGAGGCGTACTTGAAGCGCTTCTCGCAGTCCGGGCACTTGAGCGGCTTCTCGCGGGCGGGGTCGCAGCGGTGCTGCACGAACTCCGAAGACGAGAAGAAGCGGCGCTCGCACAGGGTGCAGCGCAGGGGCTTCTCCGCGGGCGAGCAGTGGGCCAGCTGGTGCTTCTGCAGGGCCGACGCCCGCTTGTAGGCCTTGTTGCACACCGGGCACTTGAAGGGCCGCTCGGTGGCGCCCGGCAGGCACTTGTGCCGCAGCAGCTCGGCCGACTGGTCGAAGCCCTTCTGGCACACGGGGCACTTGAAGAGGGTCTCCAGGGTGTGCACGTGCTGGTGGTAGAGCAGGTGGCTGGGCTGCCCGAAGCCCTTCTCGCACAGGCCGCACTTGAAGGGCTCCTCGGTCTTGTGCGTGCGCCGGTGCCGCATCAGCGCGTACTGCTGCTTGAAGCCCATGGGGCACAGGTCGCACTTGAAGGGCCGCTCGGCGCTGTGCGTGCGCTCGTGCTGACGCAGGTCCGACGGCCGCTTGAAGGCCTTCTGGCACTCGCCGCAGCGGAAGGGCCGCTCGCCGCTGGGCGTGCACGGGTGCTGCAGCAGCTCGGACGACTCCTTGAAGTGCAGCTCGCACACGTTGCAGCGGAACAGGTGGTGCTCGCCCGAGTGCGCGTACATGTGGCGCACCAGGTGGGAGCGGTGCTTGAAGGTCTTCTCGCAGACCGAGCACTTGTAGGGCCGCTCGGAGCTGTGCGTGCGCTTGTGGTGCACCAGGTGTGACGACTGGCTGAAGCTCTTGTCGCACAGCGTGCACTTGTACGGCTTCTCGCCCGTGTGGATCCGCTCATGCCGCGACAGCTCCGACAGGTGCTTGAAGGGCTTCTGGCAGATGGGGCAACTGTACGGCTTCTCGGCCTGTTCAGCGGGGGTGACGGTGGGCGGGGGCGGGGGTGCTGGGGGCAGTGAGGGGGCAGCGGTGGCCGCTGGCTCAGCCGCCTCCCCGGGCTTGTAGGTCTTCTCACAGATGGAGCATTTCACCAGGCCACCAGTGCCAGTGTGGGCACTGTGGTGCTGGGCCAGCGAGGTAAGCAGCGAGAAGCCCATCTTGCAGACACCACAGACAAAAGGCTTCTGCTCGGCCTGCACACACTGGTGCTCCAGCAGGTCAGTAGCCTGGTGGAAGATCTTGAGACACTGCGTGCACTGGAAGGAGCGGTCGTGGCCCGCCAGGCACTGGTGCTCGTGCGGGCTGGACAGGTGCGCCAGGTCGTGACCACACACCCCGCACTTGGGGCCCGGCTCACCGGCCGCCTGCAGGGGCTCGTGCTGCGGGGGCTGTAGGCCCGGGTCGGGCTGCAGCAGGATGCCATAGACGGCGCAGCCCAGGGGGTTCTCAGCCGTGCCTGGGGGCAGCGAGTGCTCAGCCAGGGCTGGCGGTGGTTCTGCGTGATGCTGCGGCTGCGGCGGCTGCGGCTGCTGCGGCTGCGTCTGTGGCGGCTGCTGCCAGCTTTCCGACATGCTTGGGAAGATGAAGCAGGGTTTGGAGAGTAGTGGCTTCAGTTTCCCTGATTAAGGTGACCCAACCCAGAGAGAGAAGCTGCCCGGGATCAGGGATGGACAAGGACCTTGGACAAGGCACAGAAGAGGGACTGGTCAGACGGCCCGAGTCATTAACCAAGACAGACTACAAGGCTCTGCCTACAAGACAGGGGGCTCTTCGAGGCAGGGCGCCAACAACGCCAGGGAGGCTCTGCCTTCCCCGATGCCGGGTTCTGTAGAGAAGAGAGAAATCGTGAGACTGAAGCAGGGACACACAGCTGGGCCCTCCACTCCCTGTCCTGCCTGCACTTGCCTCACTGACATGAACCTGGGAAGGGAGAGAGGCTCAGGGCTGGGAGACCAGCGCCATTCACCCACTACCAAAGAGGCCCGCTGGCAGCTCAGCTCCTCCAGCGAAGGGGCAGTGGCTGTCTCCACCCTACCTGGGCCCGGGCGTCCCAGCCTCCCAAGCACTGCCAACCCTTTTTAATCAGCTGCCTCACAGGCAAGAGGCTAGGGGGATCTGCCCACAATACAGAGAAGTCACAAATTCTGCTGATGCTCCAAGAAATGACTGACCGGTTTGGGCCACAGTGTCCAAAACAGAAATTTTAGCAGCGTAACTTTTTTTTGCAAATCAATTCTTACTGGGAAACCCAGTATATACAAGACAGATAAAAGCAGAAGGCCCCCTAAGGCCTGCCAGCTCCTTTCTCATCGCCGCCCCGAACCTCCACTCAGGACACCACTATCCAGGAGAACAGCCCGCTGGGTGGAAGAGACCAGGCCTCCCAGATCTGAGGGCCCCACAGCAGACAACCTCCATCAGTCAACACATAAAACAACTGCGTGGAACAAAGGACCACGTCAAAAACCTTCACATCCCTCCCAACTATCCCCCCAGACCCTCCCCCCTGACCACGTGCCTGCTCTCTCTCCACACACAGGTGGGATGGTCTTGCGGGGACCTGAGCCAATGCATGATGGGGGTTAAATGATAGGTCCACGGTCCCACCCAGCTTCAATGGCTACAGCAGAACCTCCCCACTCTAGTAATCTCCCAGAGCACCAAAAAAACAGTGCTTAGTCCTCTGATCTGACTGTGTCCAGGCCCCCAGGCAGATACAAGAAATTCTGAGTTTGCTTCTGCACCACGAAGAATAACATGCTAACCACAGAGCACTGTTCCTCCTCACCTTTCCGGAGATAACCCTGTTTCCCTGCTCCAAGTCTATAACTTTCTGGATAATCAATGAAGGTAGAGACCACCCAGCCCAGGCAAATCTCTAACTCACCACTTTGTGGCAGCATAAGGTAACGACAGCGAGAGGGAGGAACTTTTAGAATTAGATATAACCCACTTTTAGGTTCCCAGTTCTTCTGCCTCTAACACTGAAAGTTTCTAAGTTTTCTCCTGCGGGAAAGAGGGGAAGGAAGGGGGTGCCTTCACAAACCAGTCTGGCTGGCCTCTAATTGCTCTGCTAAAAGCTGTCATTCTCCGCATCTTCCGGGAAGAAGGAAAGACGCCGTCGCTCTGGGTGAAGGCAGCAGGTTGCATGAGCAAGCAGGTGCCAAAGCCTCCCCAGAAAAGAGGGAGGCGGAGGGCTACTCCAAGGGTGGTCTAGGTTAGGCTGCACCAACACAACTGTTTTTCCCAGCATGAATGGCTGCCAAACATAAGGTCCCTGACCAGGGGCCCCCGGCTCTACTGCCCACCCATTCCAGGAAGGTGCGGCCATGAGGCCTCTGATTACTCTGCAAAGAGACTAGGGCAGAGAAGCAAGGGGAGGCCCACACCTGCGCCCCACCCCAGCTCTTCTCCTCCCTGGGAAACCTAATGAAAGCCCATCACCTCCCCGCCCGCACTACCCGCCGGCCCAGCTCAGCTGCCTCCTGTCAGCACTCGCTGGGTATGGCCAGGCCGCTGCAGCCCGAGCGCTGGCCCCGGGGCCGCAGGCCCGGCCGGGGCAGCGGCTGCGCCTCGAGGCCGGCCTGGGCCGCCCAGGAGCTCAGAGGCCGCCGGGTCGGGCCAGAGGGTTGGAGGGCCGGCAGGGCCGGCTGGGGAAGGGGTGAGGCGGGCGCGAGAGTGGCCCCCAGACTCGGCCCCGGGCGCCCAGCCGCTCACCTGCTCCAGGCCGCCCACGGCGTCGGGCGCGAGGCGAGTGGCGACCCGCTGCTCTCTCCACCGCCCCTTTATTCCGGCTTGGTCGGCCAAGGCGCGGCCTACGCGCTCTGCCAATCCTCGGCCTCGCGTAGCGGCTGCGGCCGGCGAGGGGGCGGGGAACGGGCTAGCGGCGGCCGAAACCGAGGAAGCGACGAGCGCGGCCGGGATAGCGGTTCGGGGAGGAGGAGCGCCAGGAGGGCGGGCAGACGGACCGACGGCCTTGCGGAGACGGGAGGACAGGCGGGCGCGCGGGGGCCAGGGAGGCGGGGCCGGAGGAGGAGCGGCAGCCGGGCGGCGGCGGCTGCGGGAAGGACGGACTGCGCGGAGCGAGGCCGCCCCCTGCCGGGGACCCCGAGGCCCGGCCGGGCTGGGCCGGGCCGGGTCGAACAGCCGGACACGCGGGGCGGCTTTCCCTTCGCCACGGTTCGCAAGCCTCAGTCGACTCAGGGAGGGGACTCCGCTTACGACCACCCTGCTCAGCCTTAGGGGAGGGGGTTCCCGGGACCCGGCCCCCGGCCCGACCCCTGCACCTGAGAGGAGGGGCCTCCGAGACCCTCCGGTCTTCTGGGACGCACCCGCCTCAGATTGCTCAGCTTGCTCTAAGGGAAGGGGGCCCGGAGCACGGACTTTGGGCCGGTTTGAGTAGGGGTCTCCGGGACCTCCGAAGGTCAGGGATCTCCGCTCTGTCTAGTGCGCTGCGCGCTGACTTAGGGACCGTCCGTAGCTGGGAGCTCTGACCCCGGGTGGCTGCAGAGCTCCAGACGATCTGTGAAATGGGCTTCGGAGGCTGAGGATACCGGAGGCTCCGAGTTGCCCTCAATGAGCAGCGAGTGGTAGTCTGGGTGGGTGGTAGTCTTGCTGGGTCCCGCTGGGCCCGCCCAAGCCCCGCCCCAAGGCGGTGCTAACCCAGGCCCCGCCCCCGGGAGGGCATTTCCGGCGCGGCGGAATTCCGGGTACCGAGTGTGGCTGCTACTTGGTCCGCCCGGTTGTCGCCGAGATCCCATGAGTGCTGCTCCCCTGGTGGGCTACAGCAGCAGCGACTCGGAGGATGAGGCCGAGGCCGGGGCTCAGGACCTGCCAGGGACTGGATGCCGCCCTCGGTGAGGAGTGAAGGAGGCTGTCTGGGGAGGATGCGGGTTCACGCGAGACCCTGTGGGATCGGAGTGTCTCGGAGGGTGGGACAGTGCGGAGCGGGCTCCTCAGGGAAGAGAAAGAGGCATGAGGGAAATGAGGTTCCAGGGGACACCCCTGGGCAAAGCCCCAGAGTGCGCCCCACCCCCGGCTGGGCCAGGGTTAGAAGGAAAGAAACCTGGGTTGGGTCAGCCTCTGCCATTGGCTATCTCCTGACGTGCATCACTGTACCTCCTAGGTCCGATTCCTCATTTAACACAGTTGCAGAGGAATAGCTAAAGCGTTGGAGAGTTTGTCTCATTCACTCAATAAATATTCATTGAGCACCCACTCTGGGGACTTTGGGACTCAGCAGTGAACAAAGCCATCCGCGTCTCTTCTCGGAGCCCCCGTGCTTATGTGCCAGGCCTGGTGCTTGCTGAGTGCTTTTCAAGCAGTATCTCAGTTGATCTCACAGTAGCGCTATCAGGTAGAAGTATACGTTACAGATGGGGAAACTGAGGCGCACAAAGTGCACATAACTGGCCCAAGACCACAGTGCTAGCAGACCATTGCTACTCCAGCTCAGGCCTATCCCTTTAAGGAAAGTGACCTCTGAACCACATGTTGCTGCCTGCTCAATTGTTTCCGGCTGAGGACCATGCTGAGTCGTTGGGGAAAGAACTGTGTAGTTATCTAGAAGCTGCTCACAGCACCTGGCGGGACATGGATGCACAGAGTCACCCTGTACAAGTGGTTACAACTTGCGGCGTGTGTACAGAGGTAGAGAACGCCCAGTGGATACATTTTCTTTTTCTCCCTTGCAGGGGCCGGAGCCCCCTCCCCAGCCAGAGGTTGCCCGTGCCGGACAGTGTGCTGCACATGTTTGCAGGCACCGAGGAGGGGCCCGAAGATGACAGTGCAAAGCACGGGGGCCGGGTGCGCACCTTTCCCCACGAGCGGGGCAACTGGGCCACCCACGTCTACGTGCCGTGTGAGTAGTGTGGGAGAGGCAAGTGGCCGAGACCCTTAGGTGCCTCTTGGTGGGAGAAAGCTGACTCCCACCGGGAGGAAGAAGCCAGAAGGTTCTGATGTGGGTGGTGGGGAAAACGGACTCAGCACAGAGACAACGAGGGTCAAGAACTGGGGAATTTTGCTGTCAACCTAGTTTCAGTTTTCATGTCGTTGCCTGAAATAGTTTTTATTAGCCCTAGGCATAGTGTCCTCTCTGCCCATGAGGAGGTGACCAAGGGAGGGTGAGGGCAGGGTGTCAAGGCCATCCCAAGAGTGCAGCTGGCACATCATCTCTAAGAGGGCCTTAGGTACGCTGGGTTCCAGTCCCACCCCCACCATAAGAAGTGAGTGACAGGCATCAGACAGTAATGACCATCTTCAGAGTCAGTCCTCGCTCCACGACCCACGACTCTGGGTGCCTGTTAGAAAGTTACTGGACTTCCCAGAGCCTCCGTTTCCTCATCTCTAAACGGGGACGATAGCAATGCCTATCTCCTAGGACTCGGGTGAAGATTACATCAGATCATCTGTGGCAAGTTCGTAGCACAACCCACAGAATAAGTAGTGGCTCTTATTATTTTGGGTTAGGTCACGTGAACTCCTGGAGCCCCGTTTCCCCATCCACAGGATGGGGATGACTCACTGGACTGCCCACTCACCAGGGTATTCGGGCAGATTGAGTAACACACTGGGTCTTGTTCACTTGAACTGTTTACAGTGAGCGTGAGTGTGTTACTTCCATAACCAGAAATATGGATTAAAACATTAAGATACATGGACATAGGCTGCTGCCAAGGTAATTTTCTCCTGAAACCCAGAGTGAAAAAGGCCTTCGGGGCTTCTCCACGCAGCCCCGCCACCCTGGCTAAGAGCACGGCCCGCCCTAACCCTAACCCTGTCTCCCTCCAGACGAAGCCGGGGAAGAGTTCCTGGACCTGCTGGACGAGGTGCTGCCCCACGCCCAGACATACGTCCCCCGGCTGGTGAGGATGGAGGCCTTCCACCTCAGCCTGTCCCAGAGCGTGGTTCTGCGGCATCACTGGATCCTTCCCTTTGTGCAGGCTCTGAAAGACCGCGTGGCCTCCCGCCAGAGGTGAGGGCCGCATGCTCCCCGCTGCCCCCCCCCCCCGCCCCTCCAAGTCCCCTCTTCCTGTCCTGAGCTGCCCTGGGCATGGGGCGGCGGGGTGTATCACCCCCGCGAGCAGGCCACACTTCAAGGTTAGAGCATCAGGAGCTGCCTGCTCTACACCTGCCCCCCGTGTGACCTAGACCTGCCACAGGAGCACCCACGTGCCGGTCACAGAAGGGGTGGCTGCCCCTCGGAGGAGACTGGGCAGAGTGGAATGAGATCCCACGTGCCCTCAGCACGGCCCTTGGAGAAGGATCTGGACTGGACGCCACTTCCGGGTTTACCTGCCAGCCCAGGGCTTTTGTTGTTTTTTTTCCGTTCTTAACTATTTCATACATCTTCCTCCTACCAGAAACACCTTTCCTCCTGGACTTGCCAGCCAAAGCCCTGCTCCTTCACTGCTCTCCCAGGTGGAGTTTCTCCCAGGATCCCTCCCTCCCAGGGGTCATCCACCCCCAGGGCTGTTTACCCCCTAGGGCTCATTGCACTCACCCTCATCTCCCGGCAGTCCCGTGTCTCCTTGGAGCCCAAGTCCCTGCAGGCCCGGGAGCGCGGCCTCCCTCTGAATGTCCCCGCATCTCCTTTCCGGGTGCTCTGCTCACCGTGGGCGTCACCGGGACGCGCAGTGAATGATGGAGCCGCCAGAGAGGGCCCAGAAATCAACCTCTGGACCCTCTGATGTTGTTCTAGAGGAAGCCTGAGAAGCCACCCCCGTGGTTTTAACTGCAGAGCCCTTTTTTCAAGTGGGGTGTTACAGTAAAGCCCAGATGTGTAGATGTGAGAGAGAGAGAGAAAAACAGCATCTTCTGGTCGGAGTCCCACCCCACGGCTCAGGAGGCCTGAGGTTCAGGAAGCCCCTGGAACTACTCTGCCCGACTGGGGAACTGGGTGTGGCCCCTTCTCGGGGGGGGAGAGGAGGAAGGGCTTTGCTCCCATTCAGTCAGCCAGAGAATCGGGACCAAAACGCATCTCACCACCTAAACCAGCCCTGCCACCTTTTCTCAAATCGTCACTACCCAATTTATTGAGTCATACATGTATCAGGATTCTCTCCTTTTTTTTTTTTTTTTAAATTTTTATTCATTTATTTTTAGAGAGGGAAGGGAGGGGGAGAGAGAGAGAAACATCCATGTGCGGTTGCTGGGGTCATGGCCTGCAACCCAGGCATGTACCCTGACTGGGAATCGAACCTGCGACACTTTGGTTCGCAGCCTGCGCTCAATCCACTGAGCTACGCCAGCCAGGGCTGGGACTCTCTTGATGGAGCCAGAAAGCCACGCCACCGTGGCTTAAACTGAGAAGAAATCTGCATAGGCTGGTGTCACTAAAAGCTTTGGAGGTAGCACTGGCTCCGTACGTGAGTGGACTGGGGCAGTCAGACGGCACCTGACCCTCTCCATCCCTCAGTTCTGCCCCTGTCTGGGTTGGCTTCATCCTCACGACAACACACAAGGCCACCAGCATGGTCACCCAGGCTGCCCGTCAACCGACCTGGAAGGGCAGCTCTCTTTTCCAGTGGCTTCGGCAACTCACAGGAATGACTCCAGTCAGTCCGACTGGACTGGCAGGCTTTCCAGAACCAGTTCAGAAAACTCATCCTTAAAATTCAGCTCCTCTAACACACTCTCAACCAAGCTCTGTAGTAGGGTTCTCCCGAGTAACAGAACCCACGGGATACGGACACAGAGATGCAGGTGCAGATACAGCAACAGATACGGATAGATTTATTACAAGAATTAGCCCATGTAATTGCAAAGGTCACAAAGCCCCCCCATCTGCCATCTGCAAGCTGGAGAACCAACAAAGCCAGTGATGTGATTCAGCCCAAGTTCAAAGCCTGGGAATTAAGGGTGGAGTTTGGGGAAAGGGGAGACTGGTGGCGTTAGTCCCACTGTGGGCCTGGGCGCCTAGGAAGCCAAAGCTGAATGCTGAGGGCAGGGCCAGGTGGATGTCTCACTTCAAGCGCAGAGAGTGAACTTGCCTTTCCTCTGCCTTTCGCTTCTGTGCCAGCCGGTGATGCCCCCCACGCTGGGGAGGGCCATCTGCTTTACTCAGTCCAGCGACTCAAGTGCTCTTCGCGGGCAGAAACACCCTCCCAGACGCACGCAGAGACAATGTGTTACCAGCCCTCTGGGCCTCCCTTAGCCAACACATAAAATCAACCATCATAGCTGGCTACAAACATTCAACGTCCACACCAGGCTGTTGGTCAGGCACCTTGCCGAACACGTCCTAAACTCTACATTCAGCCAACCTCCCGCTGGCTCCATTATCCTGGGCAGTTTCCCCAGAAGGGATGCTCTGGGAGGCGGGGGGCTGGTGGGAAAGCCAAAAGTGGACTGATTCTGCGCAGGCGCTGGGGTGCTGCGCTCCCTCAGACGGGGCGAGACCTTGGCCTGGGGGCTATAAAACAATCATTTCCTGTCATGGGATTTGCCGAGTTAGCCCACAAAGGACAGCAAGCCAGTCTGTCCCTCTGAGATTGCGTGTCCCAGGGAACACAGCAGGAACCAGCCGGAGCTGGAGCACTTACCTGGCCGAAGCTGATGGTCTCTGTGTTACTGATTTCAGGGGTGGGTGGGTGGGTGTTTCTGCCCCAATCTCCTACCAACGGAGACCCATGGAAGCATCACGGATCAGAGCAAGGACTTTGGAGTCAGGCACACTGAGGTTCAAACTGTGGCTCATCAAATCCAACCTCACCAAGCCTCCGTTTTCTTGTCTGTAAAATGGGCATAATTATAGTGCCTGGCATGTGGGGAATGGTCTTGTCATTGCTTAGACCAGCTCAGAATTGTATTTTTTAAAACTGCCAGGGACAAGTTGTCCCTTAAATGATCTATCATCACCTACGTGATAAATGGGGCTTTCTCAGTTCCCGTCAGGAAATTGAGATAGTCTCAAATTGTCGAATGGAATGAATGGCTATTAATAAAGCACAATTTCTGCTGGGGCCTGGATGGAACCATGTGTCACTTGAACTGGGTGGTAACTTGAGGTCTTGTCCAGCTCCACCATTTTAGGGTTCTAACACCTGTATGACAGGGCGACAGTACTAAGTGTGAAATGAGTTAGCTATAGTTTCAAAGTGCTGTTTTTTTAATACGAGTTTTTCCCCTTATTCTTCCTGAAATGTGGTCTTTTCTACTAAATTGCAGATTCTGCTTTACTGCCAACCGGGTCAAGATTTATACCAATCAAGAGAAAACCAGGTGGGTGTTCCCCATGGGCCCTGTCATTTCCAGAAGATTCTTTAGAGTCAAGATTGAGGGCTTGCTCTGCCTCTGGCCTTGTCTGTCAGAGTTTTTCGTTTGTTTTAACCAACTCTGTGACTACACAGGCAGCAGTTTCCAAATCCGGACCTTTCATTAAGAGAAATAATAGAGCAATGGGGTGGGGGGAGGGGCAGCAGAGTCCAATAAAACATCACGGCGTACTGAAAACAGCCGGCAACTGAGAAACGGTCACCTGGGTGCCTGCCCAGCTCTCTCCCCAACTTAACGTTTAGCTCACAGCTCCACCCCTGTGGCCTCCCGTGCCGACGCCATCACACGCCTGCCCCAGATACGGTCACCATCGGGCACTGGTGAGGCTCCCACGGGCCGAACAAGTTTTTGATGAGCCTGAGAAGAAAGAAACCGTTACTATCCCAGCTTCAAAGCGAGCCTCCGGGTCTGATCCGGGCCCTGAGCTGCCTGCTTCTGAGAGGAGGGCTCGCTCATCCCTCCCTTCTCTGCCGCTCGCATCCAGCCTTGGAGCGAGAAGGTCTCGAGGTCCCTGTGTGGAGGGACCTCACGTTCTGTGGGGGAGTCAGATAATAAGGCAAATGAGAGCGTTCGTAACTATCACGTGACAAGATAGGAGCAAGGGGCCAAGGAGGGCACAAAGGGCGTGCCCGGAGAGGTGGCATTTGCTGGGGACCCGAGGAAGAGCTGCCGCGAGACCTTCCCGGCAGAGGACACAGCAAGTGAAGTGACTGAGGCAGCAAGGAGCTCGTGTGTCCCAGGAGGCCCGTGAGGTGGAGGCCGGGGTGGTGGCAGGAGCAGGTGGGAGGGCGCCGAGCCGTGAGTTGGGCAGGCTGAGCGCATGCAGGGCCCTCAAGGTCACGGGCAGGGGTTTGGGTATTCGGTGAGATGGAGCCGTTGGAGGGATGTGAACAAAGGAGGGACCCGATCTGATCTTCTGTGCCGTGGACGTCAGTCCGACTAGATCGTGGCTGTGCCGAGTGGAGAAGAGGTTAGGACGCAGGGCGGACGCAGGCGGAGCCGAGAGGAGGCGGGTGGTGCTCCCCAGGCGAGGGCCCGTGGCAGCCTGGATGAGGGGGTGGCAGTGAAGGAACCGAGAAGTGGCCACGTTTCCGATCCCGGAGACAGACTGGACTGGGAGTACCCGTGGGCTGGACCTGCGTGAAGGAAGGGGAAGACCCAAAGTAGATTCTGGGGTTGCAAAACTGGGTAATTGATGGCCCCATTTTCTGGGATGGAAAACACTGGCGGGAAGAAAATCAGAAGTCCCACGCTATGCCCATTAGGTTTTGCTGCCCGTGGACCCCCCCCCCCCCCCGTGGAGATGACACAGACGCGACTGGGCTGCACAGGAGGGGGGCCAGCTGGGGACCGACGTTGGAGAGCCGTGCGCCTGCCTGATACTGAAAGCAGGGCTGGGTGCGGTCAGACTGCTGGGCGAGTGCGGGTGGGACAGGTCAGCGCACTGAGGGTGGAGCTCCGCCGCCCTTGGCCGTGGAGAGGTGGCAAAGAAGAGAGGGCGGCAGAGGCGGCCAGAGGCGGGATCAAGCCAGGACTGTGTGGGGTGAGGTGTCCTGGAGGCCAGGAGAGGGAAGGGTTTCAGGGAGGGAGGCGTCAGCTGTGTCAGGTACCGCCGAGCGGCCAAGATGGGGACAGAGGAGCGCCCATGGGATTCAAACACGGAGCCCCGTGGCAGCCTGAATGGGCAGTTCCCTGCAAAGTGGGCGGAGGGTGGAAGGTGAGGAATTAGAGGCTGTGAAGGCAGACAGTTCGTCTACGAGAAGTTTCACTGGGAACAGGGGGAGGCTGGCTGAAGATGTGGGCTCCGGGGAGGGTTTTTACTTTTTTTTTTTTAAGATCTTGTTTATTCATTTTCAGAGAGAGGGGAAGGGAGAAAGAGGGGGAGAAAAACATCACTGTGTGGTTGTCTCTGGAGTGCCCCCTACTGGGGACCTGGCCCACAACCCAGGCACATGCCCTGACTGGGAATCAAACTGGCAGCCCTTTGATTCACAGGCTGGTGCTCAGTCCACTGAGCCACACCAGGGAGAGTTTTTAAAGATGTGAGAGAGGCTCTGCCCAGTGTGTCTCAGTCGATTGGGTGTCGTCCCACAAGCCAAAGGTCACCGGTTCAATTCCCAGTCAGGGCACATGTGCCTGGGTTGTGGGTTGTGGGTTCGGTCCCGGTCGGGGCACTTAACACGAGACACGTACGCGAGGCAACTGATGTTTCTCACATCCATGCTTCCCTTCCTTCCTCGCTCCCTCCCCCTCTCTCTAAAAATAAATAATAAATTTCAAGAACTAAAGATGAGAGAGAGCATGTGTGAGCACTGACGGGAACGCAGCCAGCGCCCCAGAGCCAAGTCCTCCAGCAGGGGCCAGACCCTGAAGCGATGACGGAGGGATGGGTGCAGGGGCTTTGGGAGTGTGCACTTGGCAGTGACGGATGGAAGTGCTCCTGCGAGTGTTATTAGACCCTGGGGAGGCGTGTGGTTAGAGTCAAGGAAGGAAGGTTTCCAGACAGGGGAGGGGAGGGCGGACGAGCTGCTGAGCGCGCAGGAAAGTCAACTGCCCGGGAGACGGGAGAGAAAGCACTCGCGGTCCAGAGCGCTCTGCTCTCTGTCTGTCGCACCCTCCGCCGCGTTCTCCCGGGCTGCGTCTCGTGACCCTGTCGTCTCCACTTCTGTCTTCCGCCCACCAGGACCTTCGTGGGGCTCGAGGTCACCTACGGGCACGCCCAGTTCCTGGACCTGGTTTCCGAGGTGGACAGAGTCATGGAGGAATTTGACCTCACCACTTTCTACCAGGTAATGGGCGGGGCCTTCTTGTCTCTGGTGACCCATCCACAACGTGAGAGGGAGCAGCCTTCACTGCGAGGCAGACCGGAGAGCCCTCCAGAACCTTCCCCCGGCGGGCGTCCCGAATGCCACCCGTTGGAGGGCACACACCACCCCTGGAGAGGGGAGCTCTGAGACGTGCTCAGGTGCAACCCAGCCGAAGCCCCACGTTTCTTAGAATGCTTTGTGTATCATGTATAGGCACCAGAGGAGTGCCTCCTACTCCACGTCGTTTTCATGTTTATTTTTACATTTCCTAAGAAGCAGTTTTCCCCAGTATTTTTTAGTAAAACTGACACCCCAAAGGCTCCTTGCCTTTGGCTCATGTCCTCTGGGGGTGCTCGGACTCCAGGCCGAGGCTCGGGGTTTTAAAGGGCCATTGGTTTCACTGGGTATGTTCCTTTTAAGTCATGCTGAGATATATATGCATGAATTTGAATGCAGACAATTATTGTTTCTTTGTAATTTTAGACATTTTGGGTTTTGGTCATTTCATCTTAAAAGGTATGTCATCTGTTGAAATGTCTTAGATCAGAGAGTGGACCGAGCGTCCCAGACTTAGTGGCTCTCTACAATATATAAGGAAAGCTTCGGAGGACAGGCCTGTCCCAGACACAGGCCACCGTCACAGAGTATCACAGGCTGGGCGGCTCAGGCAACACAATTCATTTCCTCACAGTTCTGGAGCCTAGAAGTCCAAGGTCAGGGTGTCAGCATGGTCTGTTCTGGGTGACGACTCTCTCCCTTCCTTGTAGACAGTTGTCTGCTCCACGTCCTCTAGTGGTGGAGACCGGGAGGAAGCAAGCTCTCTGGTGTCCCTTCTTAAACAGGCACAAATCCCATCACAAGGGCTCCTCACCTCCTCTGACCCTAACTGTCTCCCACAGTCCCCACCTCCAAGTACCATCAGGTTGGAGATCAGGGCTGCGACATAGGAATTGGGGGAGACCCAGTTCAGGCCATAGCAACGACCCATCCAAGGCTATTTTGCCTACCTGTAGAGGGCACTCAGGATCGACTCTGAGGGTCTAGTCTCCATGGAGCTGTCCGGAGATCCATCAGGCATGTTGTGACAACTCTGTCACAGGTCTCTGCGTGCCTGGGCCCCTCGTGGCACCTGGGTGACCACCTGTGCCCCTGCTGTTCCCCTGCAGGACCCTTCCTTCCACGTCAGCCTGGCCTGGTGTGTGGGCGATGCTCGGCTCCAGCTGGAAGGGCAGTGCCTGAGGGAGCTGCAGGTAAGGCCCCAGCGCAGGGGCATGGGGGCGCTGAACTCCGGGGTGAGGCGATGCTGGGAAGTGTGAGGGGAGCCGACTGACCCTGGGGGTTCGGTGTGCAAACCCAAACCCCCGGGAAATCACGGACGTGGCAGTAGAAACCCCACCCCCACCACCCGTACTTACCCTGCTCCGGGGAGGGCGGCCCTGGACCAGCAGCAGCACCTGGGCCCCCGGTGACACTGCAGACTCGGAGGCCCCACCCAGACCGCGGAGATCAGACCTGCCCTGTAACAGGGCCCCTGGGGGTCTGTGTGCACGGTAGAACGTGAGAAGCACCGCCCTAGAACACCGGTCTGAGAGGATGCTGCGGGCCTTCCCCGAGTCCTAGCCCCTCGCCCAGAGGTCAAGGGCTGGGGCGCCTCCGGGGCCTGACAGGTGTTGAAATGAGTGAAACATGCCAGGTGAGGACCATCCACCTTCCTAGCCTGCCTCCTACTGTGATAGGTGGTGAAAGACTTCAGTTTCCCAGCAGCCCGCAGCGAGGCGGCCACGCCTCCCCGGTCAGGGGGAGGGTGGGGAGTGTGGCCGTGCAGGAATGCAGCCTTGTGTGGCTACCACTCCTGTGTTTCCAGAGAAGCCAGGAATCCAGATGTTTATGGGTAATCTCCCTGTTTTCTAATCTTGGCAACAAACAGTTTCTATCTAAAAAAAAATTTTTTTTGCAAGCCAGACAAACCGTGCGTGCCAGACACAGCCCACAGGCCACCTCCACTCGGGGCCTGGCCATGCAGGAGGGGGCAGAGAGCTCCAGTTTGGGGCGCCAGCAGAGCCGCGTCCCTGTCCTGGTTTTATTGGGCTCCGTAATCCAGGGCTCTGAGCATCCGTGCCTCCTCCACAATGTCAGGCTGGTAGGACCGACCTCACCAGGTGGCAGCGCTGACCAGGCATGGTAACCAAGTGCAGGGCCAGTGGGGCCCTCGGTTTCCCTCCAGACGTGCTGAACCCCTGGATGGAGGGCTTCAGTAGGCTGGGTGCATCTGCAGCACCCTCCGGGTCCCTGAGTCCCCCTCCAGTGACTGTCCTCTCCCGGCTCCCGGTTTAAGGACATGGTGGACCAGTTTGAAGACTCCGAGATGCTGCTGCGTGTGTACGCCGAGCAGGTCCGCTGCAAGTCCGGAAACAAGTTCTTCTCGGTGCCTCTGAAGTGAGCACCGAAGCCCTCCTTATCCCAGGATTCGCCACAGGCCAAGCAAAGATGGAGGAGCCACAGGGAGGCCTGGTGGTCCCGGCCAGCTGGTTCTCTCCCGGCCCTTTTGGGCTGCAGGTCCCATGCTGCAGTGTTGTCATTCCCGAAGATCACCAGTAGAGGGCAGACTGGGCTCCCTCGTTGTAGGTCTGTGATTGCTTGCCCACACACACACAAAATGGGGTCACCCAGTGAGCACCCCCATACTCAGCCAGATTCCCCAACTGTAGTCCCTCCAACAAGGGGCCCCTCCCCACACTCCCCCCGCAGTCCCTTTGCCTTGGTGTTTGTTGCACTGTGACACCGGTGGTCTCAGACCAGCGTCTTTATCCCTCGTGCCCTGGCTCACCCCTGCTCCAGCCAGGACACGGGGTGCCTCGATGGGACTGTCCCCCTGCCTCGCTGAAGCTCGTCACTTCCACTTATTTATTTCTACTCTCACCTCTTCCGATGCCCGTGGAGGCCATTGCAGGGCCAAGGTTCAGGGTGCTACTCTGAGGTTCCGCGTCGGTTTTCTCCACTCCTTCCTCCCACGCGCCCCCAGCCAGGTGCCTGGGGAGACTCGCGCAGATGCTCCATCCCGGCCTCGCTGGTGGCTCGACGCCAGGCCGCCAGGCTGCCAACGCGGTGTGACCTCTGGCTTCCCACCTGCTTTCCCAGCAGCAGAGAGGCGCTGCCCCCCGCCCCGCCCCCGAGTCAGGATCCAGTTCCTCGGCCTCTGACCACCCACTCTGGCCCACTGGCCTTCTGAGGGGACGCACCGGGGGGCCAGGGTCGCACAGGACTGTGATTCTTTGAGTCCTGGAGAGAGCAAAGGACCAGGCCTCTCCAGCTGCCATTTGAATTTCTGGGGACGGATGAAGAGATAACATATTTTTATGTTTTAGTTTTAAATTATGCTCAACGAATAAAGATTAGTTTTTATGTTTTGGATTTTGTTTGAACTGCTTCTGCCCAACCAGGAGAAGAGATGGCTCTTCTCGCCCCCGTCTTCGCCAGAGCACTTCCCAGTTTTGGGGGGACCCTGGGTGGGTCTGCCACAACTGCTGACATGGCCATTAAAGACACTGATGTTGGGGCGGGGTTCCCAGCCTGCCAGGCCTGCACCCCACGGAGGTTGCACAGACCACATCACACCTGGGCCTGCGGCAAGGGGTCACCACCCCCATCCCTCATCAGTGTCAGCGCAGACACCGAGACCCGACACCAACCATTTTCAAAGCCCTTTCTGGGACCTTCTCCCCTGGAGGGTGACGGGGTGGGAATGAGTATTCCACTTGCACAGAAGAGCGGGTTCAATGACTGGCCTGAGGTCACGTGAGAAGTCAGAGGTAAGGCCTGACCTCCATCCAGCCTTGGTCAGGCCTGAAGGAAAGGTGGGGGGTGGGGGGCTTGTCACCCCGGCCCCCACTCCGCCTCCTGCTCCTCCGTGCTTCTGCGGCAAGCTCCCAGTCGCTGCCCTCAAGGTCCAGGAAGTCGCATTCCGTGCCTTGTTCCCCAGCCCCACCACGCCGTTCTGCTGATTCAACTCTGACTGCTCAGTCGGTTCTTCTGGCCCTTGAGGTCCCGTTGGAGACGGAGACGAAGCAGCCGAGCACCTGCTGGCGGCGAGGAACACTGGCAATCCGGCTGTGTGGCCAGCACGTCCCAACACCCGCTCTGCGCCAGGCCCTGCGCCGTGTGGAGTCGGACTCATCCGCGCCTCTGGATGCTCATCGTGGAGGCCGGGGGGCATTGGCAGGGTGCACCAAGAGAAGCCCCATCCCCAACTTTGTACCGCTCCGCCACCCACCCAGTCTCCTTCAGGTTCCAGTTGCAGGACGGAAGCCAGCCTCCCCCGAGGCAGGTTCCATGGCGCAGACCGCCTGGCCTGTCTCATCGGGGACCCCGGCCAGCCTCCACCTTGGGTGCTCACTCTTCCTGGGAGGGGGTCTGGGGGTGAGGCAGCACCACCCTCAGCAGAGCGGGAGGGAGGACTGCCCCGAGGTGCCCAGGGGGAGGATGCGGCGCGGATGGAATTGGAGTGCGGCGACTCTGAGCGATGGGCCAAGATCAATACCGGCGCCTCGCTGGAGAAGGGAAGGTGGTGATGGAGGAAGGAAGTAGGAGATTCGCTGGGGGGAGGGACGGCTTGGCGGGCGCCCAGGCGGCGAGTGTGCCGCTGACAGTGCAGAAGCGGCTGGGGCTCTTCCTTAAGAGGCGATGTGCTCCGGACGCGCCTGGGAGAGGGAGGCACGGCCAGAGCAGGCTCAGTCCTCCCCAGGCAGTCTGATTCCCAGGGTAGAGCCATGCCCTTGATGGGGACGTTATCACACCAGGGAGGGCGCAGAATCAACACATCTGGCCTCGGTGTCCTCAGATGTTCCCGCAGGGCAGGGAAACGCTCATCCCGCGGCCTCCTTGGCCCACTTCCACCTGGCACTCCTGGCTCTGCGCGCGCGCTCCGCTCTCCAGACCACCCGAGCTCCGTTTCCAAGGAAGCGGGAGATTACCTCGCCTGTTTGTTTACTCCTTGTCTTGGTACCAGGAGCCTGAGCACCGGTGGGGGGCAGCCCAGGGTGGGGGTCCTGGGCCTGGTTCCCAACGCACAGTGCCTTTCTTTTACCAAACAAGGGGCCTCGGCCACTACTTCAGCCAGAACCTTCCTTTTCCAAAGGAGGAGGCAAACCCAAGGAGGGGAAAGGACTTGCTCAAGACTGTGCAGTGGACGAGAGCTGGGGCGGGAACCCCGCAGCGGGCCGTTTGGACGGCCCCTCACACCACACCGGGGTCTCAGCAGGAGGCTGGGCTGCGGAATGACGTGTCTGGGCTTTCACTCAACAGGCTCCTCGGGGAAGCGGCGGGGGAGGTTAGGGTCCAGATGAGATCTGACGCTGGCAAAACTCGGAGAGTGCTGGAAGCTGGCCGGCCGAAGGGCTGGGCTTTGCACATTTCAGTCCCTCCAACCCCTTCAGGGATCGGCAGAACCACGGGTCCTGTGATGGATGGATGTGCGGACCCGCCTTGGGCCCTGAGCTCCCCGTGGGAGCCAGAACCAATCGGGCGTCTCCAGGTAGATAGGAGGTAGCCTAGGAGGGGAAGCTTCTACCAGAAAGAAAACAAGGACCGAACGAGTCTCACCACCGGCCTTGGACAGCGTGGCTCACGATTCCGAGGCACCTCTCTCTACTAGGGAGCACCCTAAACTCAATCGTCTGAAAAATGGGCTGGTTGGGAATAGTGTGACAGATGGCGAGGCGTTCGGTTAAAAGGAAACAACCCCGTTGTCCCCCTCTGAAGTCTCCCATACATTTAGTTCCCAAAAGGAAATTTCAAAGCCACAACTTTCCAAATCCATCTCCCAAAGGGGGGACCCCGCAGAGAAAGTCGGCCAGGGGAAATGGATGAAACTGCCCCAACCTTTTCTCCAAACCCCGACGCCCTGTCCTTGCGGACCCTCTGCCACACACCAGGTCACGCCCACCCACTGTGGGTGCTGACATGGGTTCTTTGTTTGACCAAACTCGAGCCGGGCTCCCCTGCACCCTGCACTCAGCAAGGCCCACCCACGTACTTCCTTCTAGAATCCAGCTTTACCTGGAATCCCACTAAGTCAGGCGGATTATCTGACCCACCTCCCCATCCCCACACCCTCCCCCCCCCAGCCAAGTGGTCTCAGATCACCTGGCCCGCCTTCCGCCAGAATCCCCCCCATGTCTCATGTGGGTGACTCTCTGTTCACCGAGGCCCCCACGCCCAGTTTGCTCCTCCACTGTAAATCCCCACCTGTTCTGGTCCTACTTGGAACTGAACCCCCTTCTATACTGGGGTGTCTCCCTCCTGCAATGGTTTTTTGAGTAAAACCCACCTTGACCACTGTGACACCGGTCCAACCCTGGTTCTCTGTAATGGTTTTTAGTGCCGTGACTCGGATCTGGGTCAGAGCCGCAGCCAGCATGACCTAGATGACCTGGACCTTTGTCTCCAGCCTGCCTGCCCATGATTCCTCAGTATCATTCAAAGCCAGGAGATCTGGCCCTGGCTGGTGTGGCTCAGTGGATTGAGCTACGACCTGCAAACCAAGGCGTCACGGGTTCGATTCCCAGTCAGGTCACATGCCTGGGTTGCAGGCCAGGTCCCCAGTAGGGGCCACACAAGAGGCAACTACACATGGATGTTTCCCTCTGTCTCCCCCGCTGCCCCTCTCTCTAAAAACAAGTAAATGAAATGTCTGAATAAAAACGAAGACCATTTCTGGTCCCCACTTGTGGCCCATGCACTACTCTCCCTTTGGCTGTCAAAGAACCAAAGAGGCAAGGATATGGGTTAGTCCAAGATCTTGAGATCTATCAATAAAATCGTTGAACCCAGATTTGCCTTGGTGCCTAATCCTCACTCTGTCTGGCTGCTGTTCCTGCCCCCACCCAGCGTCCCCCAGTCCTTGATCTGTGTTCTGCCTGGTTTAGGATCCCCCCTTCGTAAGGAACCCCAATACTTGATTGCCTTCCCCTGGGACTATCACAACACACACGGACCATTATGCCCCAAGGACGTACTGCGGCTCTGACTTACTACCTTTCTCGCACACCCTAACTGTCCACTGGATGGACTTAACACTCCCAGGAGACTCTGCTTGTAATCCAGTGTGTAGATAACCTCCCCCTACGTCCCGACAGTTACGACAACTGCTCTGGACGCTGCACACCTTCGTCAGCCACGAGTGAGGAAGGGCCCCAAGGGCCTACAGACAAAACTCATCTGTGCTCTCTGTGTGTCTGGGATCTGGGTCATGATATTCCAGCGGCAGGTAAGCCTGCCTCCAGAGGCAGAGCCTGCGCACTTCGACAGCCTCCTCTCCCTGACGGAAAACACCACCGGAAACGTTGTTGAGGTCTCGTGGGGACCTCATTTCTCTTCGGCTGCCTCGCTCCTTACAGAGGGACCAGGAGAGCGGCCTCCCCGGCGATGCTCTCAGGAACCCCAGGGGCTCCCTCCTTTCGCCTCCCAGCCTCAGCCCTCCAGGTGACTCCCTGCCTTTTTCCTGGTTTGTGCAGGGGCCAGAGGGTCAAGCCCTTGGAATGTCACCCCAGGAGCATTACGGATCCCAGAGACCTCTGGGATATTACAGTTTGGCCTTCGGCCCGGTAGCCAAGGCAAAATCCCCCTGTGAGCCGTGGCTGCAACCGCCAGACTCATCCAAGCTACCTCTGAGTTAGCAGTAGGTCATCCGCTTGCCCTACGCATTCCTCAGGCTACGCAGACACCACCGCTTAATGAAATTATGCAGCGCTTCTCTGCGTCTCCACTTACTTCCCATGAAATATTGCTCCTCTCTCCCTCTGCCATCACCATACGTCACTGTCACAATCTCAACCCTGTCTTCCTTTACCCACCTATGGCACGCCCCGAGCTTGTGTCGTTAGCTCCAGCTCGTTATCCTGTCCGAGGCTGGCTTTGTCAGAGAACCCCCTCCCCCGAGGCGACCTGACCCTGCATGTTGATGGCTCCTACCTCCGGAAGGAGGATGGGGCGCACCAGGCTGGATATGCCGTTACAGATCACCGTGAACTTCTAGAATACCGAGCCCTGCAAAATGTCAGATCAGCCCACATAACCGTGTTCTTTGCTCGTCCTCGGGCTTGTTGTATAAACGCAGAGGGATGGTTAACATTTACGCTGATGTCCGCTGTGCCTTAGGGGAGGTCCATGAACTGGGTATGCTACAGAAACACAGAAATGCCTGTGCTGTGTCCCTCGGTTTTAACTATAGTGATCTGCTGGGGCGATAACAATGCCTGCAGAAGTTCTGCCGTTTGGGGTCCACTGCCGACTGGGGTACCAGCTGCTGGCACGAGTCCTCTGTGCTTCTTGTAGTTACCATCCCCGCTGGCCTTGAATTTGTGACTCGCCAACGAGGAGAAACCTGGCGCGCTAGTCTCCATAATGGCATCACCCTCTGTGTGACCCTGGCTGCAGAAGGGGACACTGGCAGAGATTGGAAGCAACTGCTGCATCTCTGTCCCCTACAATCTACCTGCCACCTTTGGTGTGACCAGGAGGATCCAAGCGGTGAACAGGGAAATGGGCACATCACCGCCATCACCGTGCTCACACTGCTGGGGAAGGATCCCAGGTCACGGACTTCTGGTCAACCCATGAAGGCCTATAAGCTGGATGCACACAAGTCGATTCAGCCTCTTACCTTCGTCGTTCCGTTTATCTTCAAAGCATCTCTCTCATCAAATGCCTCGTGGGTTGCATAGTACAGCAATTATCCACCGTCACCAAGCCTCAACAGATGGTTCGGCTGGTTCTAAAGGAATCAAGGCAACCAAGTGGGAAATGGATTCGTGTTGTTCAGAGCCAAAAAGAACAGCTCCTCTGCCCTTGAACAAGAGGGGAGACTGACAAAGATTACTCGCGCGATAGAACTTGAGTCTGGGTCCCTGGAACCCTCTCCCCAACAAGGCCCACGGCTGTGCTTTCGGTAGGATCCAGTTTTAGCGAGAACACTTGCTAAGTCAGTTCAGTGAGGATTCCCCCCGACCTTGAAATACATATCTGGTTCATCTCCAGAACCAAACTGCCCCCCAGGTGATATCTGATCACCCTCACCTGCCTTCAGCCCCGGGCTCACGGTCTCCTCGTAAGTCATTTTCCATCCACTCAAGCTCGACCCCCTTGCTCCTGAGCTGTAAATCCCCACCTGTTACTGGTTGTATTGGGAATCGGGCCCAGTTCTATGCGGAATCTCTGTTTCCCCTGCTGCAACAGTTTTGTTTTGTCTTTAAGCAACATCCATCCTTGTGGCTTTCCTTCTGTCTGTTCCCTTTACCAGTATTGTTTCTTTTCACCTGGCTAGTCAGTGAACAGGTCCATTTCTAAAGCTCTGCCTGCTCGCTGCCCATTTCCGGGAGGTGAGGCCAGTGGGGGGGGGGGGTTGTTGGGGAGAAATCTCTCTCTGCGGAGGAAAGCTCCCATTTCCGGGGCTTGGGGGTGGGGCACCAGAGGAAAGGTCTCGGCCCTCCCTCCCTCCCGGCGCCTTGGCCTTCGCATCCTGCCACCAACGTGCTGGGCCAGGACTGCCCTTGGTCTGGGCACACAGCCCTGGGGCCCCCCACCTCAAGCCTTCTGCTTCCACACCGCCGGGATCTCAAGCTGATCCTGGGAGAGAAATCAGTCTAGCACTTTTAAACTCTACTCGGCGGGACGTTTTTGCCTACGCGCCCAGCACCTTGTCACGCCGAACTGTTACATTTCACTTGCACAAAATCGTGTCCTCACCCTGGATGCCTAATGTGTGCTAGCTAGGCCAGGCACCGGGAGCACACCTAACCCTCACCTTCAGCTGTTCGCCCCATGGTCCAGGGGAGGCCATGGGGGCTCAGGAAAGCTAAGTGAGGCGCCCACCTACGAGCCGCAGGTAGGCGGTAGCTGGACTTCAGCCGCGCGCGGCCCGAACCTGCGCGTGGTCGTACTTCAGGCTCACACGACACACCAACCCCTCCCTTCGCCACTGAGGGAAGCCACTTGAAGGGCCAAACACTTGACCGGCTTTTGGGAAAACAACACATCTCTAGATTTTATCTTTGTTTTGTGTCCGTCTGGAACAGGACACTGGGATCCTTCCTCTCCCAGCCTTTCTGCCCACCGCTGCCTCAGTATCCCCACCCACCTACCAGGTAGGAGAAAAGGGAGTCTTCGTTACTCCTCACTCTCTGTGGAGGGCGGGGAGAGGTCGCTTTGGGGATCAACCCCACTCTCCGAAAGCATGGACCCGAGAGAAGGAGGTGGGCTAGGGAGGATTCCTGCCGATTGGAAAGAGTGAAAGGGCCGCCTGCCCGGCTCCACCGCAGGCACCTGCCGAAGCCTCCGCCTAAGATACCGCCCCCGGCCCCCGGCCCCCGCCCCTCGCCCGCGGCCGCGCGCAGAGGGAGCACTGGCCCTTTAAGAGCCGCGGCGACTGCGGCGCGGGGAGGAGGGCTGGGAGCGCCCGGAGCTGCGCTGAACTCGCCGGGGACGTCGGGCGCCGGCTCCCTGGCTCGTTCACTCGCTCTGACCGGCTCCCAGCGCCTCCTCCCGGGACTGCGCGGGGACCCGGGCCCGGTTGGGCGCGGGGCGAGCAGAGTCCCCGGGCGGGAGGCGCGCGCTCAGGGCAGCGCCCGGCCCCGGGCATGGACAGAGGGAGCTGGGCGCGCAGGGGGCGCCGCGGGACCGGGCGGCCGGAGCGCTGAGCCAGACAAAGGCTCGGGAGTTGCGCTTGCTCTCGGGAGCCGGGCCCCGGGCGCCCAGGCTGCGGGACCCGGCAGCCGGCGGCTCCGGCCGGCCCTCTCTCCCGTGGGCCGGTTCCGCGTGCCCGAACCTTCCCTGCCCGCTTCTCCTCGGGCGTGGGAATTTGCCGAGGGGACCTAAGCGGCTCCGGCGGGGACAGGGACCGGGAGGTCTGCCGCGCGCCCGCCGGGCGGGGAGCCAGGGAGCGTCGCAAGTTTCCAAGCCTCGTGCGGGGACCCAGCGCCGGCGAGCGGGGGAGCTCCGCCTGCAGCGCTCCGGACCCCGCTGGGCGCCGAGAGCATGGGCAGCGAGCGGAGCGCACTCGGACAGCCGTCCTGGGCAGGCAGCCTCCTCGGCGGCCGGGAGGCGGCGGCGCGACCGCGAGTGCTGCCGCTGCTCCTGCTGCTTCTGAGCTGCCTGGGCCGCGGCGCAGCGGCGGAGGACGCAGAAGTCAATGCCGAGGTAAGGACCCTCGCCTGGGGGACTGAGAACAGGGAAGGAGACACGTCTGCAGCCCGAGGCCGGAGGTTAGAGGGCGCAGAGTCGAGCCCCCTGTGCCAGGGGAGGGGGCGGATGAAAGGGGGCCAGGCAGGCTGCCCTTCCCCGGCTCTCCCCCTTGCCAAACGGTGGAGGGCGTAGGGCTCGCGCTCACTCGCTATCCCTGTAGCCTTGACCTAGGCACTGATCCGCCCGAGCTCCCGCCGGGCGGCCGATTCCTCGAGAGCCCTGCGGACGCTGTGACATTCTTTACGAGTGGGGTGGGGGCTGCCCTGGAGGAACCACGGGCTGACCAGGCAGCTTCCCTGCCCTGGCAACATCTGGTCTGGGTGACCGTGAGCCACGCACGGCGGGCCGGGATAGGGGGAAGGGGTGCGACCCTCCGGCATAGACTCGGGTCGCAGGGAAGCTTTGGTGACTTTCTTGGGCTCTTGCACGGAAACCGCGCCTCGGCCAGGTGGGGTCCAAGAGAGAGACTCAGTCTCCCCGTTGCTTCCTCCCACCAGAGCTTCTGCGACGAGGCCCTGTGCACAGAGGACAAACTCTGCACACATTTTCGCTGGGAGCCCTCGTGACGTCCCTATGGGGCCCCCTCTGTGGCTGTGACCCATGGGTGATCGGGCACGGCCTCCTGGCGCAAAGCTGGGTCTAGCCAGTGTCCCCAGCTCCATGGAGTCTCCCAGCGCGGCCCTTCCAAGCAGGGGCAGTGAGAGCACCAGCTCCGTTGCTCCAAAGCGGTGTCTACTCTTTCCCAACTTCTGAGACCCCGCTCCTTGCCGGTTGTAGGAGAGAAGAGTGGGCGGGGGTTGGGGAAGACCACCTCGTGCTGGCTAGGGTAGGCTCAGGCCTTGGTGCCCTTGGGCCGGCCTGCAGCCTCCGGGTGCCAGGCTGCCGGGGAGAGCACCGGTTCCTTCGTATTTGAGTTTCGGCCCATGCTCCCTCCCAGCCCCCAGTGGCTTCCCCACCTCCCCCCCTGCTGCCTGGGAGATTTTTCCAATGGAAGCCTGCCCTTCCCCGCCCTGCTTTAATAAAAGCTTGGAGGAAGGGCAGGGAATTCCTCCCGGCTCAAGTTACACCTCTCAGCCAGTTCCCCACCTGCTCTTCCCTCCCTCCTTGGCCAGGCCAGGGAGAGCTTCGGGGAGCCAGGTCCCCGGCAGAAGGTGGGGTAGGAGCCCAGCCCGTGCCCAGGCCAGCTGCCTCCTCCTCATTTGTACTGACAGGCAGGCAGGGGGCTTCTGCTGGTGGGGAGTGTCCCACAGCCTGTGATCCAGGTAGTGATGAAGAGTTTCTGGACCCACCTGCCACTCTCTGGAGTGGAGGACCGAGAATTGCCAGTCACAGACCCACCCTTGAGCAGTTTTTAATCCACGGAGGAATGGCATCTCCGAGCAGGAAGCAATTACAGACCAAGCTGGAACCGGGTGGCCATGCATTATGAATTGTCATCTTAGATGGCCCAGAGCTGGGGCACTGGGACCTATAGTCTGCGGGGCTTCATTCTCTTTCCTTTGCTGCTGCTTCTCCAGTGCCCTCTCCTCTGCCAGGGCCGCACTGGGGTCAGAGACCACGGCCCTGAGCCTGTGGCGGCACTAGCTGGGGATTCTGAGAGGGACCTGCTTGCTCTCTCCTCGGGGACAATCTGGGTTGGGCTGTCGCTGGAAGAGACCGGAAGGTTTGGGGGGGACTCTTGAATGTTGTAAGACAAGGTAGATGGAGGGCTCAAGACACCCCTGTTCCTAGCATTGGCTTTGGGGTACAGACTGTTCCTCGGAGTTTCGTCAAGCCTAGGCAGATGGAGGCCCAAAGAGTTGAATGGCTTCAGCAGCCAGTGCGTTTACCAGGAGACTGTGGGGCCATAGTCCCCAGGTCCACAGTCTTGTAAGGACCAACCTCAGAGACTCCTGGGCCTGGCCTGCAGCCTGTGTCCAGCGCCCGCCCCCCCCCCCCCCCGACAGCTGCAGACTTCAGCTTAGGTGGTGGCTGGGTCCTCCTCTCCTCCTCCAAGCATCCCGGTACTTGAGCCAAGGCTGGCCCCTGTCCCTCCCGGGGCAGAACCCGCAGGAATTTCACTAGACTACAGCATCGCTAGGAGCTGGCAGACACCTGCGCCCTGGCACGCCCCTGCCTGGAAAAGGCGGTCTTTCTTGGAGAAGCCAGCCACTGCGGAGTTACTCTGCCCTGTGCCTCTCTCTCTCCCTTGGATGTCCAGCCCCAGGCCCCAGCTGTTCGGGGCTGGAGCCCACTCCCCTGCATGGAGGCAGGCCTCACCTGACTGAGGTGCCAGCCATAGCTCCTGGCCTCCCCCACCTGGGGGTCCGGGCACCCCTTCTGATCTGGCCTGCTCTTGCTGGCCGCAGCACCTGACCCACTTAAGCCCCTTTGGTTTTCACCAGAGAAGCTATGGTCTCTTCTTGCCCTCCGCTCTCCCCAGGCCTAACCTCAGCGGGGCCCATACAGGTGCCTCTGGCTGCCAGAGTTCACAGCTGTGATGCGGCTGCCTGGTCACACACCGACACACTCAGCTTCCCTGAACTGACTCCCACATGCCTCCCTTGTCCCGACCGGCCGCTGAGCAGGGTGAGCAAAAGGCAGGATGGGATGGGGGTCAGCGTGAATGCTGATTTCGACCCTCAGATCTGACTGGTGAGCCCCAGCCCCCGGCGCCAATGTCTGCTGGCCACCCCTCCCCCAGAGGCCCCGTGCCCAGTCTAGTCCGTGTGTTGGAGCTGCCCTGGGGTCCCCTCAGTCAGCTGCCTCCTGGCAGTTGCGTGCTCCTTGTCTGAACAGCATGTCTGTCCAACGTGCCCGCTCCAACCTCTGGGCGAAAACACCTCGCTTCTCCCCACCTAGAGTGGGCGGAAAGGAAACAACATAGAAACACACCCAGGTCCCCCACCCCAAAGAAGCTGCCCCAGAAGGCCCCCTGCCCCTTCCACCGTGTGAGGACACAGTGAGACTCTGGCCGTCCGCAGCCAGGAAGAGGGCCTTGACCGGAACCTGGCCAGGCAGGCACCCGACCTTGGACTTCCAGCCTCTAGATCTGTGAGAAATAAATGTTTGTTGTTACAAGCCACCCGGCTTACAGTATTTTTGTTACAGCAGCCCAAGTGGACTAAGATAGTTGGCATCTTCAGTATCGTCCCAAGATTTATGTGGCTCACGCAGCCAGGCACTCGGGCAGGGGCCAGGCCTGACTCAGGAGATGTGTTCTCTGCGTCAGCAGAAGCAGCGAGGGGCCGCCGGAGGCTCGCAGCTCGGATGCTCCCGCATCACAGGGAGGGCCCTGGAGGACCGCACAGGTGGACGCGAGGACCTGGGGCCCTGAAGGTGGCCGAACACGGCAGGCCACGGCAGGTGCCTTCTGGCCACACAAGCTCCTACGAGGCCACTCCCCAGAAAGACACTGGCTGCAGGGGCACCTGGACCCTCTGGGGAGTGGGCACAGGATTCGCAGCCCCCGGCGAGAGCAGCAGAGGTTTGCCAGCCGGCGGTGGGTCAGAGAGACGAGGAGGGACACCTCGTGCCAGCTCCCCTTCCCCACAAGGGGCCAGCAGGAAGACCCAGCTCGACATCCAGTGTCTGACAGACAGAAGAGGACCTGGGTCCCCGCCTTTCACCAGCCTTGGGGGTCCCCCACGTCCCACTGCCACACCAGATGGTTGAGCTGCCGGAGCCACAGCGCCTGGGGGCCCGAGGCTGGATCACCTGCCCCAGCTGGCCCTTAGCCCTGGCCACCACCCTGGCCTCCCAGGAACGACTGTCACCCCGGAGGGATGAGAGCCCGGCTTCGTCTCACGCCCAGCACTTGTGGGCAGGGCACCTGGTGCGCAGGAAGTGCTTGCAGAATGGTGGCAAAACACAGAGACTGTTAGGAGCGAACGGCATTTGCTATTGAGCGAGGCAGTCATGGAACCGTCTGCGCCTCAGTTTCCCCGTCTACAGGGTGGGGCTGATAATAGCATGGACCGGACAGAGTTGCTGGCGAGGTTCCGTGCATGTGTGTAACAGGCCGCCCGCCGTGCTCGGGGGCCCGGTGG